CTTTTATTAATAATATTAGAAGAAATAATAAAATTATTAAGGAAATTAAGATCTAAGATATTAATATAAATTATAATTTAAATATCTTCTATAAGTAAAGACTTTTATTACTTTAATTACTTAAGCTCCTCTAAGGAAACTAAACCCCTATATATTATCTCTATATTTTATAATATTAATTACTACTTATGCTTATAATATAACTCTAGCTAAGAAAGCGACTTATTTAGATCTTATTATGCCCTTTATAAGGCCTTACGACGAGAAATAAATAACTCCTCGGCGATAACTTCTTACTTATCTAAATAATAAGCCTCCTTAATAATATAAGATATTAGCGCTATTAATAGAAGCCCTAAAAGAAAAAAAAAACTATATATATAAATTCAAAGGGATACCTATCGTATTATAAGGTTAACCTAAGCGGGTATATAAACTATATTTTCGGGAACTTAAAACTATCTTATAAATAATACCTTATTTTAAATAATAAGAATAAGATATAACTTTAAAATTAAATTAATTAATACTAAAGGCTAAGATATAGCGATTTTTAATAGAAAAAGGTATATTAGATTTTTTAATTATATAGCCTAATATCTTATTAATATTATAGCGGAAAATAATAATATAAATTAAAGTTAGGCACTTATAAGAAAAGTAGCTATAATTATAAGAAGTAGCCTTAAAGATAAGGGCTAATAGGAGGGGAGATATTATATTATAGCCTAATTAAGTTCTAATTATATACCTTACTTAGCCCTATAGCACTTATTAATTAATAAGTAATAATAAGTAGCTTACCCTTATAGGTATAAGCTAATATCCTTAACTTATTATAAGAATAATAAGTACTTATAATATGCTTATTATAATAATAGCGATTTATTTAATATATAGAATATACTTATTATACTTTCTTATATACTAGCTACCTTAGCTATTAATATAACTTAGTTATATTTAATACTGTAAAAGACTGAAGGATAGAGAAGATAAAGTCTTCAAAGACTATAGGGTAGATGACTTGGATAGGAGGTGAATAGGCAGAGAAATCAGTCTTAATATATAGTTGAGAGACTAAATAAGAAGACATATAGGGTAGGCAAAGTAAGAAGGAAGATCAATAAGGCTAATAAGAAGAAACCAGCTTCTTATTGGTATTTATATTGGTTGAATTCGTTAAGGATCTGAGAACTAATTCTAAGAGAGGGCTTATAGCTTATATAGAGAATTGCTCGGAATCTATTAGCCCGATTCGGATGAAAGTTATACCGTCGGATAGCCCTAATTCCGGGCTTTATAAGCCTATTAGTTTTACTAGCAACGGATAACTAGAAGCCGAGTTATGGCATAATAGAGGTTAAAACCTATAGGGTTTTAAACTAGGATATTCAAAACCAGATAGGAAATACCCTATAGAGGGACACGGATTTAACGGCATTATCGGGCTTTTAATAAAGTCCTAAGTCCGAGATCACGTGACCTTCCTAAAAGGGAAATAAGCCCAAAAAGGGCAATATTGATACTCTCTTATATCTTACTTATCTAAGTAGATATGGCTTAGGTAAGCAATTTATAAGAAAGCGCATAAGCTAAAGTATAGGGTAATAAAATCCTAGGCTTATATCTTATAAGCTTATTTTTCTAGAATTTTATTTATAAAAGACCTTTTTATTATAAGGACTTTTACAAATACTCTTAAGTATATTATTAGATATAACTTATACCTTTATTTAAGATAATATTAATAATCCCTTACTAATATAAACCTAGTATAATTAGTTTATCCCTTAGAAATACTATAATTGTTATACTTATTATAATACTTTAAATAGCTCTATATAATATTACCTCTTAAAGCTTATTATACGTACTTTTTATATTTTTATAAAGCTTATAGACCTCTTTAAGAAGGTTATCTTAATTATATAAGAAGACTTATTAATAGATATTAGCTATATTAATTTAATTATTTAATTAGAGGTCTCTATAAAAAGTAGCTATTATAATCTTCTTTTATATTATTAATAAATTAGCTAGTTATTAATTAATTAATTAGTTAGTTATAGTTATTAGTTATAGTTATTAGTTATTGTTATTAGTTATAGTTATTAATTATAATTATTAGTTATTATTATTAGTTATAATTAAATTTCCTTTTATAAGAATAATAAAAGTAATTTATACCTCTTTAAGTAATTAAGAATTATAAAGATAATTAAAAGGTTAATAATAAAGGGGAGAGCTATCATAGGAAGAGGATATTAATCTTTTTAGCTAATTAAGATATAATTTATTTATTATAAATAGAGCTATTATTAAAGGTATTAATAATTATATAGATAAACCTTATTAATTTAAGCCTATTAAGCTTAGGCTTTAGGTATAGAGCCTTTATTATTAAACCTATTAAGATTTTAACTAAGATATTTTAATCCCCTTTTTAGGTAAAATAAAGTCTAATAATAATTATAATTAACTTAATTAATTATTATTATAATTTTTATAATAAAACTTATTTTTTCTTTATATAAATACCTTTATTTAAATATATTATAAGCTATATATAAAAAGCTTGCTATAAGTGCCTTTAAAGGGCTCTTAGTAAGTATATATTAAAAATATATTTTAAATTATTAATTTCTTATATATATATATCTTAGGTATTTAAATTAGCTTTATTAGCCTTTAATAATAAATTACTATAAGTAACTTCTTTAATATAAATATAAGTAAGTAAGCCTAGTTATTAAGGCTATTAATATATCTTAGGCTAAGTATTAAACTTTAAAACTAGAAGTTTTAAGCTTATAAATCTTTTTTATATTAGTTATAATTAAACTCTCCCCCTTTTAATAATAGCCGGTTAAGGTCCCCGCCTATAGTCTCTATTATCTTATAGTAATAGGTCGCCTATCTAGCTTGCCTTAGTAGTATATTATCCTTAAAGAGTATATCCCTAGGCGCTCCGCCCTGAACGCTAGTCCCTAACTTTACTTGTTTTTATGTAAGATAGATTAATTCATTAAATAGATATACTATAGAAAAGTTAGAATACTAATTAGATGCATTATTATCCGTGTCAAAGCTCTACGTTTCAGTCAATCTCATTCACTACTATGTTAGCCGTTGCTTGTCGTCGATCAGAATATTAAAGCACCTGGTGACGGTTGCTAGGTTCTACTATATGTCAGGGAGGTTTAGTTACGACCATCGCTCTAGCTATGAAAATGTACTCTTTTTTAATCTCTAGGTTTATGCCCTCTAGCTTACCCTACTGCTGTATGTTAACCTCGGCATCTGTGAGGGCGTGCCGCCTTCAAGGCCGTGTATGTGCCAGAGGCTTCGTAAACGGGGAGTCCCGAAAGGCCGGGAATCAGATCTTGCTTGAGTCTATCTCACTATAATAGGGGCTTTTCTACTAAAATAAACTCCAAGTTAGGTAGGTTTTAGGTTCACAAGGGCTACTAAGTTCTATTCCTACTCTCTGATGGAAAACATAGGAGGAGCCTTAATGTTAATTGGTTATGATGCATTTCTTTGTGAGTGGGCAACTAACTAGGTTTCGGCATCTACTCTCTCTAAAGGGTAGGTGGTAAAGCAGCGTAGTAGGATCTACCGGGCTAATAGTTATACCGTCTGTGTTATAGTAGGCATGAAACCTTGCATGTTTAACCATGAGTGAAGACAAACCTTATATTGTGGTTTAGACCCGCTCAAAGTGACGTGTACCGCCGGATCTCTGGACCCCCATGCCTCTATTCAAGCACTTGGCCTGCTAAAATTAATCCCGCGTCGGAAAGCATTGTATGGAACATTGCCTGCTTGTAGCATCACCTTCGGGGGTGTTCAGCGTACCGCGGCTTAATAATCCTTCTCAACGCCCTCTCATTTCTCAAATAGCGCATAGTCGACGTCTGGCCTGTCGCCGGGTGTTTCGATCATCACCTTCTACTACAATGGCCAACCTCCCGGTGAATTTATCCATTTCAGTGCCTACTTTAGTTGGGTCGTTACTCTCTTGTACAGCTAGCTTTCTGGCTCTCTGCCTTCACACAATTGTTCCCCCGCAACGGCGGCATTTTCGACATGCACTAATAGTAAATCTGCTTCTAGCAGGTAGGTCGCCCAACAACAGTTAAGCAAAGTCTTGCTGACGTAAAGATTTCAAGACTTCATCAACAGTCTAAACAATACTGTCTCCGGCATCCTTGTACTCAATAATGGCTATGCGGACCCAGGGGCCTCCCCAAGCACTGGATGCCTTGCCAACGCGTGGATCGGACAGTTTTCTGTACAAGCCATCGACTTCAATATTCTCGTCATCTCGATATCGGTATTTATGGCGGTTCAAAAGCATCAGTTTCTCAGCGATTCATCAAGAGCTATGACCACAATTGTGTGCATCTTGCCATGGATTCCCGGTACAATAACCAGTAAGCATTGCTGAGGCCTTGATGACTGAGCACTTGCTGAATAAGTAGGCTTTGTTGGCCTTGGTCTCGGTGCATATGGACCCGTAAGTGGAAACTGGTGTTGGATACAATCACAGTATCTTGGCCTTCGGTACGGCCTCACGCACGCTTGGCGGATCGCTATTTTCCTGGCCACGATATCAATCTACACTTTTATCTACATAAAACTCCGACGCCTGTTCAGCCGCCTCAAGGTTGACCTTAGCTCGTCTGCCGCTGGCCAAGATACAGCTGGTAACCGGTCTCGGAGTCAACTGGATACCACAGAGCCGTCTAATAGCCGTCGGATCTGGATCACCACATCTGTTGAAGCCTCCTCGTATGAGTTGCAATCTCAGCCAATATCCAAGGAAGACCAGCATACACAGGATTCCAATATTGGGAAATCACAGTGGCCCGCTTCTTCAAGAGACCAGCCTTTTCCAACAGAGATCCTCCACACAAATACACCCCAGCAATCCTCTGTCAATGTGGAGCCATCTAGGAATGCGCCGGCATCACCTAATCTAAAGAGAATGCTTCTTTTGAATGGATATCCGATTGCGTACATTATCCTCTGGATTCCCGGCATGGCGAACCGCTTAGCCGAGTCGGTGGGCAGCTCACCGCAATGGCTCACGTCGTTGCAGGCCTGTACTCAGTTTGTTGGAATGGTTAACGCCCTGACTTATGGCTTCACCGAGCAGATGCAGCGCGCGATACAGGTGTGGATGAAAAGGCGTAGTTTCCGAACACTAGACATCGAATAAATTGCTGTCTTGCCATTGAACGAGATTAGTAGTGAGCTCTGTCTTGCTGCACTGCTAGTGGCAGGAGTCGAGTTTCAGTTCTTATGCCTAGCAATCTCAACGATGTCAAACGTATAGAATGAGTAGTGGTGGAACTCCCACCTCAGGTTATCGAGGTCCCTATACGAGTGTCAACGGGAATTCCGAGCATCATGACTCTTCGGCCAATGGAAACCCCTCTAGAACGTAGTGTTCTTGATGAATCAAGGTCTGCTGAGGGACCATGTTGAGCGTGGAAGCATTTGCAAAGCTTATCTGAGTTTGAATCTTGGGTGGAAAGGCATTGGGCATGAGCGCTTGATTATGTTGGCAACTGTATTTCTCTTGCTGTATTGCCTGAATCCATCCTCAATATACACAGAGATTGAAAAGAAACATACCCCATGAGAGGGTTAACCTTTCATGATGATGCAGCTTGGTATGAGTCTTCGACGGTAGGCAGCAGAAGGTTTTTTCTAAAAGAAAAGGCTACTATGTTAGCATTAGGTCATGATGCTATAATGTATTAACAAGGTGTTCTTTCTTAGGGTTAAAGCCCATCTCTTCATGGGTTAACTAAGCCAGAAGATCAAGGTCGAAAAACTTGAATTACTATTTGATCCTCTCTCAGCAAAGCAAAGCCAGTTGCAAGGGTTTATACAGCCTATTCAAATAACTAACAAATGAATAAAGCAGGCTCATGATGTTACCATCATTAATCAAAGTGGGAAGGTAGGCAAATTGTGGCATTGCCACACGACGCCCGGGGTACGTGACCATTGAGTACCACTGTGGGTGTGATTCTACGTAACATATCATATTCTCTTGTCTCTTGCCTAGCTAGATATAGCTCCAAAGACAGAGAAGGGGTATGTGACGCACATGGCCCGGGTCGTACGGCCAAGTTACTTTCTCTCCGGTACGTGACTAAATGGTAATTTCTCAAATAGGGAGTTCGGTAAAAGTTGGTGAGCCTGATTAGGATGTTAAAAGGTGAATATGAAGAAGTAGTGTAGGAGGTATAAGGTTGAATGGTACATCGGCAAGGCATGCTATCGATAATTTCCTGGGAGAATGCGGCCTCTCCAAAACGATATTAAGCAACACAAATGTAGATCGAGGCGATGAAACCGCCTCAGTTGACGAGGTTGATGAATAAGTTAACCGTTAGAAAAGCCAGGCTGGAAATAATCTTCTAGCTCACTTAACCATTAAGGGCCGGTCTTTAACTATAAGAAAGAACACACTACTGGCATATTATAGTTTTATATCCTAATGCTCACATACTAGCCCTTTTGCTTAAACCTTCTGCTGCTTGTAGTAGAAAACTCATACCTAGCGGTACTATGAAAGGTTAAACCTCTCAGGGGGTTAAGGCTAGACACTTGATTTCGATCGCCAGGCTCAAACCGTTTCATAAAGCTGTGATAAACGCCCTAGATAGGGTATTTTACTCTACTAGATTTTTCTGCTCACTGTGCCTTTTGCAGTTGTGGCTGATGGTCTTTTATGGACTTGACATTGCATATAATAGCAAAAGCCCTCAGATATAAGGAGGCTCCCGCTGCTTCAGGCGGAATTACTGCCGCAATTGTAGAGGGCTCGTCTCCTTGCACGAATATCTTCACGCTATGCTGTCTACTCCGGGCTGCTGGTGACCACGGCATCGAGTGTTATGGCAGTATCAAGATATGCAACAAATTCCTTCAACATGTTTTAGAAACATAGCGTCCATCTAAGGTATACAAGAGGGACCATATTATGGTCAAGTGTGTAGCTCGTTGCCACCACGGAACGTTGTAATAATGGCAGCAATGATCTAAGGCCTGAATATCAAGATACATGCTCTAGTGCGCAAAGATCAATAGGGATTAATCGAGGGAAAATGCACTCTAGGGCATGTCAACCTCGTCTGGCTTGCGGCCCCATACGACATAGAACTTCTGATAACCGTGCATTCTGTGATCTGCTAAAGCTCTCCTCACGTCGATGAGGTTGACCTGGTACCTATTAGTTGAGCGCAGCATGAATTGGTCGAAACTCACCTCGATCTCCTCCTTGGTCATGCCCTTAACGCGATGCAACAAGCCATAGCTGAGCGCCTGTAATCCTTCCGCCACATTCGCATGCCATAGCTCCCCAAACCTCTTGAGCCTGCGGTTTTTGGGCCAGCCGTTGATAGGAATCTTGTAGATCTTTTCATGGATGTCGACAAATCCAGTCTCCTTGAGGGCTTGCTTTATGCTGGCGGCACCGGGCAAGGGTCGATCAGCGGCTATGCTGGCGTCGACAATATCATCGCACCACTTTTTGAAGGGGTTGTTTTCCGTAACCGAGTCGTCGTCGCACTCCATAAGACCCTCCAGTTCTTGACATTCTATCCACCCACCAGGCCTTAGCCGCTCGAAGGCCGGCTGAATGATTTGTGTAGTCATGTCAGCCCAGCAGCCCAGAGTTACTCTGGTGTGTATCAGGTCAAAGTTACACCAGTCCCTGCCTTGGGGCCACTCATCGGTTCTAGCACGGTCAGTTCATATATCTAAGGTGAGCGCGCAATGGCTGGGGGCAGTGGACAGTTACGCACGCATCGTCAATTATGAATTCAACATTAGGAGGGACCAGCTCGCTCTGAATAGGAGACAAGTCTGTACCGATGATTCGAGCTTCTGGGAACTCATCCCCCAGATCGATAGCCCAGTGGCCGGAGCCTGTGGCGATATCAAGGACCTTGCGCGGAGGGGTTTCGTCATCAAAGGGGGCAAGGCAACTCCTGCCGTCTAAGAGGATTTTGAGAGTCTCATGTTGCGTGTTCAGCCGTTCGATCTCAATCAAGTCATTGGGATAGTAGTAGGCTGTAAAGTTAGCTTCTATTGGGCTTGGGATCTCAGGTCAGAACGTACAGCCGGCACGATAAGCGTGGTATGTCCTTCCGTTCTCCTTGTGGAACTCATAGATACTCTCCGCCACGGATGCGGTATCTCTATGATGAATTAGCGCTAAAATACGCCGGCAATCAATGGCTGCAGGCTGACAGTGTGGGACGGCTCCAAGGATTTGACTATTGAATGTGAGCATCGGTGGAAAGAGGGCCCATGCTGAGCAGCCCGATGAGACTCACGTCGACTTCAATTCCAGTGGTATAGTCAAGGTACGCCTCAAAGCTGAATTCATAGTCGGAAAGACTGTCTCTCGGCCCGATAGTGCTCGACATTTGGAGCCTCCGAGTCAGCCGAGTTGTTGATCGCTGGCGTGAAAACCTGGGAGTCGGGCGGACGTGGAGGCCCAACCGGGATTTCAAGAGTGGAGAGGGGGCATAGACAGGCGATGATCTGTGCTGGGGAGAGGAGGGAGAACTGTAGCGCCAAGTAGTGGTACTGTGGTGGGTGGGCGCGTGTTTCTGTCTGTGAAGAGAGGAGGGGAAGAGGGGTTTCAGCGAGACAGACACCGACAGACTGGGTCCTCCTGGCTGAATAAGACTCAAAGTCGACCCGAGGGGCTGGTAGTCGGGAAAATGGTGACCCGGAGGATCGGGACGGGGATGGAGAGAGTGCGTGATCCAAGACACGGGAGCCAGTTTTTATTGGGCAATTTCTTGTGATGTTTTAGGGCAAGCCGTCCGTGCCAGATCCGGCGGCTGGGCGGGGCACAGTGTGTCTTTGTGTAGCAGGGGCACCGTTCAGACACTATCTTGATCATCAGCAGTGACTTTGTAGGTAGTCTTTTGCTATTCGTCAATCGAGATATGGTCTGCTGGCTATTGCATCCTACTGGGACAACGTGATTTCTAGAGTAGCTTTGCCATACCAGAGACCACGCCTCTCTTCTTACCTCTTGCGTCGGAGCTGTTGCTCCTCCTCCTACGCACATCCCTGTCGCTCCTGATGATAAACACAGTGATGAGTCCAGGCGTGGCGTGTTCTAGGCCCAGGATCTACAATTGGTTCAGGTCTAGACTCATTTCGAGTCGTCAAGCTCCACACACCACACCAGAACCTTGACCGAAAATCACCATGCTGCGATGGTAGCTACCCTATTCTCGAAACATTCCAGAATCAAGAAGGAAAGATACTTTCGAAATCGGCATATTCCATTCTAGATAATTACATTCTGGATCCTTCTCTCATGCCAAACCTCCTACCACCTTCTCCCCAAGCCTCGCCGCCACCGTTTCTCCCAGCTGCCTCAACGATGCAGCACCCATCATTTCCAGCACGCTAACTTGAAGCCCGGACGCCTGGCGGAACCATCTTCGCAACTCGATTGCGGTAAGAGAATCCAGACCCATTTCGGAAAGTCGAAGGCTTGTATCGATCGTAGTGTCTGGCTTCAGCAAGAAATCATTGATCTTTCTTCCAATCTCCACAGCCAGGAAGTCGACGGTTGATTCTTGTGCGAGGATACCCGCACCATCGCCATCTGTCAAGGTCTGAAGGAATTCCTTGAGGCTGTGGCTTTCGCCTCGTGCGTCAGATGCATCTCCAACAGCTAAGTTGTGGTAGATTCCCATTCTTCGATCTCGACGCCAGTTGGTTGGGTTTTTGGGATTATCAAGGTGAAGCTCTGATCTTAGACCCATGATGATGTGGCCTTTGTTTTCCCAAGTAGATAAGAACTCTGATGAGAGGTTTGCAAAGTTGCCCATGTCCTGACTTGCCTGTGGCACCGAATTGGCAAGTGAAGCTTCGACACTGTCCAAGAACTCTTTCTCCCCCAGCGTGTAGAGGCCCTGCAGCTTGATACTCCGAAGCGCCGCTGGGTTCTCGGCCACGAAGCCGACGTCTTCGATGGGGCAAATGGAGAGGACCGAAGCAGGGAGGCCAAGGGAGTGCCGATACTGACAGAATGACTCGATAAAAGTACATCCAGCTTTGTAATTCCCCTGCCCAGGTTGATCAACAACCGTAACGGTAGAGCTGGCTAACCAGAAGTAGTCCAGAGGCTGCCCGAGGAATGCTTGATGAAGATTCCATGTACCGTGGACTTTTGGTTCATTGGCGTCTGTCCAATCTGCCCACTTCATGTCAAGAAACGGAGAGTCCTATCATACGTTAGTCAAATGCTATGTCTTGCTTGCATGAGAGGTAGCTTACTCTCTGAACCATCGCAAGATGGAAAACGCCTTTGATCTGAGTTGGCGACTTTTCAATCGCTTCCTTGACATCCTCAAGGTTGTTGACGCTCCCTTTAATCATGGCCACGGCGCATCCCATGGATTCAAGTTCCGTTGAAACCGTGCTGTCCGCCGTGGCACTTCTTGATAGAAAGATGAGTTGTTTAGCGCCGTGTTCAGCCATCCAAATAGCTAGAGCCCTTCCAAGCCCCCCTGAGCCACCCACCAGCAAGTAGGCGGCATCAGGAGAGAACTTGATGCATTGGGCCATCTCTCTCGCTTCCAGCATCGACGGGTCCCCGGGGAGTTTCAGAATCACTTTGCCCATGTGGTTGCCACCCTGAAGATAGCGGAAGGCTTGCTTGATGTCAGCTGCGTCGAACGACGTGATAGGTTCCAGCGGCTTGAGCTTTCCTTGCTCAAAGAAAGCCAGAGTCCTTTGCAAGACACTGTAGAAAGACATTAGTATGCATGAAAATACGCCAAAGAAAATGATCGACTCACTCTCGGAGAACCCCGCCTTGCTCCTTCATCATATACATGACATCGATGCCACAGTAGGATCGGTTGTCCAGGAAACGACTCATGTCAAGCTGACCAAATCCAGCGAGATCGCGCTTCCCGAGCTCGAGCAATGATCCGTTCTTTGCAACACACTTCCAAGAAGCATGCAAAAGCTCTCCGGGTAGCGAATTCAGAACAAGATCAACTCCTTTGCCTGCTGTCTGCTGCATCACTCCATCAAGGAATGAGGCGTCTCGCGAGTTGAAGATGCGTTCTCGTGGGATGTTGTAGGTCTTGACCAAATAGTCCTTCTTTTTCTCACTTCCAACGGTTGCGTAAATCTCTGCACCCATCATTTGCGAAACTTGGATAGCAGACAATCCGACACCACCACAAGCCGAGTGTATCAGTACACTCATTCCCTTGCGCAGCCTTCCTACATCCAGCAGTGCGTAGACCACAGTCGCAAAACAGCCCTGGATGGTTGCCGCTTCCTCAAAGCTCATGGTATCTGGAAGTTTGTGCACGAAGTGGTCCGCTACAATCACCTGCGTGGAGAAGCCACCCTCATAGGTGAAAGACATGACTCGATCGCCAATGCTGAGGCCTTTCACGGCACTTCCAAGTCTCCTGATTGTGCCGGATACTTCCATACCCAGGGAAAGATTGGATGACTGGGATGATATGAGGCCCATAGCGTAGACAACGTCGCGAAAGTTGAGACCAGCAGCACGAACGTCGATTTCAACGTGATGCTCCGGAATGGTCTCTGGGATCGGGAGAATTCTCCAGTCCATGGTTTCCAACATTCCTGGTTTGTCAATATCCACCTTCTTCATCACATCCCCTTGATCTTGGTTGGTTTTGGTAGAGGCTTCCTCTAGCAGTGGGAAGGGCTGATAACGTCCAACACATATGACCCCGTGGCTGATGACAAATTCCCTGTCAGGCTCAAGGTTCTCGTTGTCCTCGTCCCGGACGATCTTGTCGAGGAGCTGAGAGACCAGAGTGCTAAATTGGTTCTCCATGTTGTCAACTTCGACCGTGTAGAAGTTGAGCCCCAGTTCCGAACGCAGAGTACGAGCTACACCCAGCGTCTGTGCAGACCGCGGATTTGAACACTCGACCTGGATTGCGTCTGTCAACCAAAGAATCCTCCTTGGGCCAACTGTCCGAACGAACTGCTGAAATGTAGCAAACGCTTCCTCGGAGATATCTTGGAAGAAATTGGCCTCAAGATCAAGGCATGAAATGATGTCCTGGCCCTTCGGGATATCGTCTCCGATACGGCGCTTTGCGATGGTCCAACCTCTTTCTTCCAGTACAGTAGCCAATTTGCCAACGATCTCCCCCTCGGGGTTCCCGGATAGGAGAGTGATGCAAGATGGGTTGGGGATCGGTGTAGGCTGTTTCTTAGCCACTATGACGGCGAAACGTCGATGTGACTCTTCGGCGTCGAATGTAACAGCGTCAGCGCCGCTGAACCCGGCAGCTCTTAGTTCCTGATCCCACCGTGATACTGAGACGTAGGGTTGATCCAAGCGATTGTCCTTTTCTCCTAGCCACCATCCTGAAAAGTTGCCAAAGATGTAATTGAGAGATCGAGTGACGCTGCACAGCTCTGTCATCACGAGCATTCCATCCGACTTGAGCAAAGGCCGTATATTGCTCAACGTCTGTTGTAGACAAGGTGTCGCATGCAGAACGTTTGCTGCGATGATGAGATCATAACTCCCCTCTTGGAATCCCTGCTGGAGGGGGTCCTGAGAGACGTCCAGTACTCTGAACTCGAGGTTGGATGCATTCGCAAATCGCTCTTTGGCAGCCGGGAAGAACCCTGCAGATATATCCGTGAAGGTATAGGTAGAATACGCCGGTACTCCATGGACATCGACAATGTTCCGCAGAATGGTCTCAGTAGTACCACCAGTTCCTGCTCCGAGCTCAAGGACTCGTAGAGTCGGCCTGGTATGAACCAAAAGGCGTAGGAACTTGGAGTAGTCAAATGTCATGACATTGTAAATCTGGGCAAGGACGTTGTCTTGTAGAAGAATGTCGAGGGTATCGGCTTCGCCCGTAAAGAGTTTGTCAATGTTATCGAAGAGACACCTGATTCCGACGATGAGGGCTTTCTGTGGTAGCTCCAATAGAAGTGTAGTGAGTTCTTCAATCTTGGCTAATCTTTCGGCCCTTGGAAGAGCAACATGCTTCTCGGGGTTCTCGACCAGCTTATAGTTTCCAGCTGCTGCAAATCCAATCTGTTGATTGATCCAGTCTCGGAACCTCGCAAAGTGAGGCTGGCAAGGCTGAAGGTATCTGACTCTTTCTGCCGTTTCGAGAATGCAGTGCAAGCCTAGCTCTTCATGTAGTTGAGAATCAGACTTGGAGGCTGCCGGCGGGGTGAAAAGAGTCGATACATCGACAAAGTCAAAGTGTGGGAGCCACCTCAATCTTGCCGCGGCGTGAACATCGAGTCCCTCAGGTGTCTCGTCATCTCCAAGGGCATGGAACTGGATTCCAGAAGCTCGGAATGCCACCTTTTCACCCGAAGCGAACTCGACGCATGGCTCGACTCCATACATCTTCCACGCTTTGGCGTCCATGACATCTGCACCTGGGCCAATTTCGAGCTCCTCAATTGCAGTAGGCACGCAAAGTTCGGCTAGGTTTCGCCCAAGTCCTTTGGCTTGCGCGACCAAGAGTAGCTGAAGGCCGGCATCAATTGTTGCGGGATGAAGGGTAAATGGGGAGTGACTCTGCTGGTCTCGGTTGATGATTTGCGCAAAGGCAAGCTCTTCAGAGACAGCGGATGTGACATTTGACAGTCCCCGGAATGAGGGCCCATAAATAAAACCTACGCTGGCCAAGCGACTGTAGATGCGGGAGGCATCAACCTTGCGAGGAAGGACTTCTGGCACCCAGTCACGGGTCCTGGCGTTGTCGAGGATGCTCACTTGACCAGTGCAATGCTTCACCCAGGTCGACCCACTGTACGACGAAACAGAAAACTCAAACCATTCCGAGGAGTCGGTGTCGTTCAGCCTCTGTCTGTGTAGGCTAGTCATCAGCTCGGTTGGAGCCGAGTCGGACAACAATAGTGCTGTTTGTGCTACCACGTGTCGAAGACGGTATCCAGTACCACGAGGCGCGTGAGTAAGCTGCCTGACAGCTTCACCAGTGACAGCGATGTATCCGGCGAATGGAAAAACGATGTCATCATGCAGCTTGTGATCAACCAACCAGGGCTCATCTTCGACATGGAGAATGTTCCGCCATTGTGGTTCAGCGTCGGTGCATTCGAGGATACGAGATCCCAAGAGACAATGGTCAGGATATTGGCGAGTCCTCCATGCCTTGGATATGCGACTCTCAAACCAGTACGATTCCTTGTGATCCCATGGGTACGTAGGCAACCCTGAAATTGCTTTCCCAGAGGAGAACATGGGGGTCAAGTCCATTTCGAGCCCTCCTTGGTAAAGCTTCCCTACTGCGGAAAGAAACGCGGCAAAAGAGTCCTTGCCGCGAGATTGGGTTGTCACATAATGACACGGCCGAGACACTTGAGAACAAGTCTGGCGTAAGGGGCCGGCGAGCGTAGAATGAGGACCGATCTCGATGAAGATGGAGTCACCCTTGAGTGCCAGCAAGTTCAAGACTGCTGGGGAGAACCTGACTGGAGACGTGAGGTTTTTCACCCAGTATGAGGGATCACGAATGGAATCATCCACCGGCTTAGTCGTGACCGAAGAGAACATCTCAGCTTTTGCTGAGGGTAGATATTGCGTCAATCTCGGCAAGTCAGACTTGAGGAGATCATGATACTCGGTACTAAGGGGAACCATGTGGTCTGATCAATTAGCCGAGGACATCATAGAGAACTGAAGGGAGTGATACGTACGGGAGTGATACGCCATGTTAACCTTGAGCTTGCGGGCAAACATGTCAGGCATCTTCTGCTTGATAGCCTCAACAACTTGGTCGACCTTCTCGGCATCACCCGAGATGGTGGAGCTGCTGGGGCTATTCTCGCAAGCCAGGACGACTCCGTCACACAAGTGTTCAGACACTTCCACGGCCCCCATTCCAATGGCTGCCATGCCTCCAATCAGGTTTTGCTTTGTTGTGACATAGCCACGGTAGTAGGCAATAGTTATTGCTTCTTCCATCGAAATGAAACCAGCCGCGTACGCAGCAGCGATTTCGCCACTTGAATGGCCAACAGCAACAGTAGGTGTGAGCCGTAGGGCGGAAAATTTGTTGAACAAGGCCACCTGAACGGCTGTGCACAAAGGCTGAGAGAGTTCTGCCTTGTGGACTTGAGTAGTCTCGGCAGACTTTAGAAGTTCGTCTTAACATAGGTTAACAGACTGCACATTCGATGCCGAGGGATTCGCTCTTCTCACCTATAATGTTCCACGTTGGTGGAAAGCTAAGGCGTTTCAACACTGCATCCATGTCGAGCAGGTCTGTACGGAATGCCCGATCGCTCTCGATCAACTCCTTGGCCATTCCGGGCCATTGTGCGCCTTGGCCACTGAACACCATTACCAATGGCAGTGGTTCCGACAGTGCCTTCATGGGCCCAGAAGTTTCAGTGACGTTAGCTCCGTCCAAAATGGCATATGCTCTGTGAGGCAAGTGTTCTCTGTGCATGGCGCGAGTGTAGGTGAGGTCCGATACGGACTCTGGGTGCTGCAAAACCCACTCTTGGTGGTTATTGATCTGCTTCTGGAGGGAGACATCTGTGTTGGCTGATAAGAGAAGCAGGTCCAACTTCCGAGGTTGATGCATGGGTGGACCAGGGTCTTGGAGCACGTGTTTCCCATTGTGAAGAGCAGTGCCGTTCTGTTGAACTATGCCATTTGAATAAGGGGCGTAAGCCTCGAGGATAACCTGAAGACAATGTAAGCACCTAAGCCTAGTAAGGGTAGAAAAGACCTAGTACATGTGCGTTGCTACCGCCAATGCCAAATGAATCGATGCTGACCCTCTGTTTACGGTCTGATGGAAATGGAGTTGGGTTGACAGGAACAGTCAAGTTGTACTCTGCAAATGGAACTTGATGACGAGTTAGCTTGATAGCCTTTGAGTTTTGACAAGTCTGATGCTTACTCTTGGGATTGGGATTAATAAACTTGATGTTGGGTGGAATGATGTTGTGCTCAAGGGCGAGAACACATTTGATCACAGAAGACAGCCCTGCGGAGCCTTCAGAATGTCCCAGGTTGGGCTTGACTGAAGTGATGTAGATCCCATTCTCACCAAAAACTTTGCCCACGGCCGTCGTTTCAATGGGATCGCCCGTGGGTGTTCCAGTACCGTGACACTGTGGTCGTTAGAATGCATCATCTGTGTTGGTTGTTCGATTACTGACCTCAACGAATGCTGTCTCTCGAGGGTCCAAGCCAGCGTCCCGATAAGCCTTTCTCATCAGAGCCTCTTGTGCAACTCCATTGGGAGTGACAAGACTAACACTCTTGCCGTCGCAGTTTGTAGAAGTACCTTTGATGACAGCCCTCACTGGGTTGCCATCACGAAGGGCGTCGGCGAGAGGCTTGATGTAAATGGCTGTGATGGCTTCAGCTCTGGCGTATCCGTCTGCTGAAGCATCAAATGTCTTGCAGGAGCCATCTGGGGCAAGAAGCTCGCCTGCAGACATGGTAGCCGTGAGAGCTGGGGTAGTAATCATGCTGGCACCTCCGACGACAGCACCTGATGCATCGCCCCTCTGTATCGCCCGACATGCTTCATGAAGAGCGATTGTTGAGGCTGAGCATCCGGTTTTGATCACCATACTAGGCGGTAGAACATCAGTATTGTGAAATAATCAGTGCCAGGTATCGGGCCAACTCACCTGGGACCTCGAAAGTCATACTCGAATGAAACACGGTTGGCCATCATAAGGTCGCCATGTCCAGTAACAGCATGGACACCGCCTTGCTGGGGCGCCTTTGTGCTCATCATCAACCAATCATCCCCAAATGTTCCTATGTAACAGCCCAGTTGCTGCCCGCGATAGTTTACCTCTCCTGCATCTTCAAGGCACTCTCGAGTGACCTCAAGCAGTAATCGTTGTTGTGGATCAGCCTTCTCGAGCTCGGCCTTGGTGAATGTGAAAAACGAAGTATCTAGACATGATAGATCTTCGTCAAGGAAATATCCGTGTTTGACCTTGACCGAGTCCTTGCCGCCGAGACTGTCGTCAAAGCCCTCGAGGTTGTAACGGCTGCTAGGAACGGGGATACGAGCATCTACCCCATGGTAAAGGAGGTTCCAGTAGTCGTCACAGTTGCGGATGCCTCCAGGAAGACGCAGTCCAATACCGCAGATGGCTATATCAGACGACACCGGCTGTTGGATGTGTCCATTTTGCTGATGCTCATTGAGAAAATGTCCATTAGACATAGACACACCAGAGTCAGCTGTGCCTGGTCTTTGGACCTTCTCCGACGAGGAGATATCAACAGAATCGTTACTCATGATGATGAGATGTGAGAAATGGAAGATGATAGATGAAAGGCCTAAACTTGAATGAATGGGCCTTGGGGTCGTGGAAGCCGAGCACTACGCGATTATCTAACAACAAGCTGGCTGTACAATGTCTGGTATTAACAGTGAACCTCTCACGCCATCCCAGAGAAGATATCATCCCGGACTCCACCGCAATGCCGCATTGGCCGCTCGAGCTAGCAAGCTGCAAGTAACCTGTTGTTGGCTGGTCATGGTCGGATGATGCAAGCTGGTGGCACCAAATTCCCTCAATCTCGTAGATGCTGTTAGTGGGGACTGAGTAAACAACCTCCTCTTTGACAACCCCGATTGAAAGATACGACCCGGTGCGCTGGGTCCGGTGGGCGGTTGCAGATAATGTGGCGGGAGTCTGTGCGACCAGTTCGAACCGAGACCAGAGATGATGGCACCAGAGCCAAGGTAACCCCCGGCCAACACCTGATATGGTGTCCATGTGTCCCGCACCACCTCCAAAGTTAAATCTTGCAGTGGCTATGGGTGACATTGAATGGGGCTGACGTGGTCTCTGGGAGGAGATATGTCCCGTAGACGCATAACCGGGAGATAACAGCCAGTGGTTGTCCGCATGCCGCTCCTCGTTGGTGGGGATGAACGGAACGCTCAAGGTCTTTCCCCTCGGAACCCCCGGACCAGCTGCGAGAAACCTATCACTCTTAAGCCGCAATGTTTTATGCAGCCGTTGTGCAGTGGTGAACGCATGTCGTGTCACCTGCTCATTGGCCTCAGCTCACCGCCTCTAGAACTACGCATGCATAAGCAACGGCATCTATCAATGAAACGCATGGTACGCGAACGACTACTCGCTAAACATCATGATCAAGACAGTTTCTACTTGGAACGATTCCTCTTCCCCCTCCCGACATTTCGCGCTTTGACTTTCGCACGTGCATGCAGTTGTGGAGTTGACGGGTGACCGACTGCAACGGACATTCAATGTACAGTACAACGGCGCCGTAAGCGCGGTCCGTCATCTGCGGCCCGGGCCTTGTAGTTGGTGGTTCGTGCCACGTCGATGTTCTCTCCGTTGAACATTGACTTTAGCGTATAATACTAAGGCCGATTGGTGTGCGGCCGGGTCTGAGTCGGGTGACTCGAGGAGCGGGCGGTGGTGATGAGGGCTAACGGGATCGGATTCGGCTGTATGATTCCTTGTGATGGTTAGGCCAAAAGCTTGGTTGATTAATCAATGCCAGATCGAAGAGCCAGGCAAGATTTGCAGGCCAAAACAGTACTACTCAAAGCAAGACGAGTCGAGGTAGAGTGGACATGGCGGGAACCAACAATCTGACCTCACAGTCGTGTCTATTTAGGATCATAGGGCAAAGGAAATGATTCTCAAGGGTTCGCTCGTTTCGCAGTGACTAATTTAAATCTCGTCACTGTCGTCGGGGCTTTGCAGCCCTGAATATGAATATCATACCCACAATTCGCGTCTCGACCTCCTCAAATTCCTCCTTCAAGACTTGCTCAAATACTCTAGGATCTTCTTCGTAGTTATCAAATATACCTCTCTTATTGTAGAAACCCAAAGCAAAGGTGGCAACGCGGCCCACCTTCTGCTCAGCCTTGACCTGATACCCCTTTTCTGTCTTCTCCCAAACCTTGCCTAGGATTGTAGATCCACTCAGCACCCCATCGTCCGCCAAAAGGCTCTTGGCGTTCCTGATTGCTTTGGATTTGGACAAAGTAGGTCCGGGCATGTGGTGCATGATGAGGGACAGAGAAGCAGAGCCAAACTTCTCGTTTTGCAACGAAGCGGGAAGCGGTGCTCCCGCGTCAGCATGAACGGTGCGAATGTCAATGTCTGGATGACGAGATAGAATCCCCTGTTTCGCCGCACTGAGAGAGGCTTGACTCAAGTCGACCAGAGTCAGATGCTGGTCTTTGGCCTTTCGACCTAGGTCTTTGAGGGCTCTGATTGGGAAGTAACCATTGCCAACACCAATATCCACGTGTCTTGGAGAGAAGTTCTTTGAGAACAATGGGCGTAGGTGTTTCTGCACTGAGCAGCGCCAGATGAGAGGAGCTGAGACACGTATGACATAAAGGTCATATATAACCAAGACAATAGGAGTAAACCGTATCGATCCGGCATTGTGAGCCGGTGTTGCGACTGTCATGTTGAATTGAGAGGACAAGTGTGTTGGAGAACAATAGACTTGGGTGAAATGACCAATGTTTGACCTCTGACATTGGTTCTCTCTTGGGGGAGAAATACAAGTGTTTAAAAGAGTGTGGCTTAGCTTCAATCTATGAATATGTTGCCATGAGTCCATATGCCTTTAAACAAAAACAATGGATTGTAACAAGAGGGGTTGCTCGCCTGATCGTAAACGCCCGTCTTGGGTGAATGGGTCGACAACACATGCGTGCATTAGCACACACCGTCAGTCGGGCTCATGGATGCAGACGGCGGAACCGGACTCTTGCATCCTGCCGAAAATAGAAAAACGTACGTTATTAGCTTGGCGGAGATAATGCAGCTGCTATTCCTATTCCAGAGTCACTGGATCCTTAAGACATATGGTGGGGATTACGAGGGCATCTTGGCAGACAGCTCACAAAGAGAAGCGCAAGACGCTATGCAAAGCTAGAAACTGGAAGGTCGTCACTGTTTGTTTCATCGCACTACACTTTCATTTCTTACCTAACGAGAATATTGGGCAAAGTAGTCACAGAGCCAATATGGCAACCAAAGGCAGGAGTCCGTCACCTAATACGAGACATGTTCACACACGCCAAGGCGCCTTGACGAGATCAAAAGCTAGGCAACAAGCTAACGCAGAGCAGACATCCCAAGACAACGCTAACGAACGCCAAAGTTTTCAACAACGGCTCTGCCACACACACCAGTGTTCATGGGCTGGACTTGGGGGTGCACATGACCAAAACAGTGACCAATTTCTCGACCATGGCAGTGAGCACTAGGATTAAGCCGGGATCTTTTTCCTGATGATAGCAGCTGGCGGAGGCGATGCTGACTGAGCATAGATGCGCTAATCAGGACCTCGTGGTTCTCTCAAAGCAAGCTGTGCTTCCCATGGCATGGGTATGCGTTGTAAACAAAGAGATCGAGGCAGTTAATGGCCAGCTGTTCTGTGCGTAAGCAGCATACATGACAGCCTTGGTAGTCTCGGGCGAAAACTCATTCTGGTGTTGTCTGGCGTCACTATTTATTGCGACCTGTCTGAACGCTTTGTGGTCCTTTTCCACTATTTTCGGGGGATCCCGGGGGAATGAAGGAAGTAAGACCGGGCATGATAAAGCAATCCTTATTGCATCCAAGATATTACCCTCTCTGCTGCGATGCTGAGCTGCCCAAGCTACATTGGGATGAGGGAGAAGTGCGTGAACAGCGACATCATGCTTGTAGAGTACTATACCGAATAAATTCAAATGCCAGCTCTCGAAAACAATGGCTTTTCCAGGCACTTTTCAACACCATTTGGGGTTGTGTTATGTGATTTTTGGCGAGATATCTATCAACGAATATCGCAATTAGTGTTGCTAGTATCATGCATATCTTGAGCTCTCAACTAAAGGATAACGAATAAGTAGTTATCAAGACGTTATACTAGGGGACAGATATATTTGCGACGATAGCTAAGCGTTCTGATTTAGTAAATGCCGTACGGTCAAAGGTCCATGGGCAACAATGAACTCCTCACGCTTAGTTGGAAAGCTGCCACAGTGATCGCCCTCAATTCTGCTGCTTTGCGTCTAGTCACCATGTAAAACGACGCGCCTCAATTGGCAGATATCCGTCCCTTGCTGTGATATTTGGCATGTGATATTTCAACTGCTTGAATCAGCTTCCTCATGAAATGGATACCTAGTGAGATCTCAACTCATACTTTGGATAAGAAGGAGTGGCTAGGGGGAGATCTTGCGAGACTGGAACAGCTTATCAAATCAGCTGATATGTACCGCAGCAAACATGTCGATACGCTCGTCACCAAATCCATGGCATGATGCATCGCGCACCTGTTTTATCGACTCCTCCATATGTCCGATCCGAACAAGATCCTGCAGCCTGATATCGAATGGGTTGTTGAGAGATGGGACTGTAAAGGCATGACTTGCGAGATACACTACACTGCACAGGTGTGGGTATTACCAAGATGGTCATAGATGCAGTCCGAAGGCCACGACACGAAATTACCCACTGCTTGGGTGTCTAGTATGATAATTAAGCAGCATGTCTCCTGTGCTAGCATTGCAATGACTGGCACCGGGTACGACTATCCCTGCTTCTAAACTCTCAATGTTTCCACTGATATATCTCTGCCTCTGCACTTGAACCTCAAGTCCCGGGTAAGGCTATCAACTGGAATTGCACTAGGATGGCTGAAAACGAGAATCTTGCCATGGTCGATAGCGAGTGGGCATTTTCCCATGCATCAACTCCGTTACCCTTCTGTTGCCGACCGTGTGAACTAGCCTGGGACAGAAACCATATTGAAATTGCTGACTGTAAATAGGGAAGAGATTACCGGACAGAAACAGGTGCGTCTGACTAAATAAAGTATTGATCTGCTCTGCATTGACTATGTAGAATAAACTTGCGAGTCAATCACCACTCACACTTTTGTTAGCTTCAACTACACGGAGACTTTGCAAGGGCGCAGATTTTACAGCCCCAGTTCGAGGGAGAAATTATCTTTGAAAGCATTGGCAATTATTCGGGAAAGTAAACACAATAGTTACCAACCCCTATACTTGGCATGCTCTGGAGGAGTCTCTGGAGTTGGATCCGGCTCATCAGTAATAAGTCGATGCCTGAGATTTACTCGTAGGGGAATTTATTTTAGAGCCTAACAACAAGACAGGGAAACATGACGAATGAGCACCGACCAAAGATCTAGATGCCTATGAATCGACGATATATCACCAATTCCTTAGCATGTACCGTCCAGCTCGTCTGTACTATATGAGAGCATGCCTTCACCAGGGCCGATCGGTTGAGCGGAATACCATCCACTAGCGGGAAGCCTAGATCGTTGATGATAGACAAAGACCATTTGGTGAAAGCGCCAGCTACTTGCAACGAGGTTCTGACCGGTTTCTCTGCTACGTGTCACTGATGAATGATGAGCTAGGGGAAATTTGGCAGTGCTCCAAATGCCCGTATAAGCTAGTTGACGACGATAATTTGTGGATTGCTACTTCATATCCAACTTGAAAGGTAGTGTAACCCACAAAAGAAGAAGAAAAAGATTCACACCTAGCGTGCCGTGCTGGGGAAGTAAGTGATAACATGGGTCCAGGATTTAGATCATAAATGTAAGCATAGCGGATTATGACTAGCAGCGCGCTATCAACCCCAATAACCAGATTTTTAGTTTAAGTCGCACCCTTTTGCGAAGCTTAATGGTGATAGGTAGCGACCTTCAAGTTGAATTGCGTACCCCAGGTAGTGCTTAAGCCCCTTGATCAGCCCGCGTTGTAGAACTATTCAAGTTGCCCAAGATGCCCAATTAGCTATCTTGGGAAACCTGGAGACCTCCTGTCAGCGAACATGCAACTCAACATAAAGGTTCTGGTTACACCTACCTCCACCATGCGGGGATCTTTATCAGCAAAGCTTTTAACACAGTACCGTAGTCTGTTCGGGTAATAACCCTTCTGACAACATCCCACCTCTCTCCATTCTTTCGTCCAAAGAACCCAATCTGAATTCGCGCACCTGATGTTGCCAGGAATAATTTCGTCGTGGCAGTTAACCCCTGCTGAAATTAGCCCCATGCCCAAGATATTGAAGAGTCGCGATTTACCTGGAGGGCAGCAGATGCTCACTTGACTAGCCACCTCCTCGTCCAGTTCCAATCCATCAGGACAGCACCAAATTGCCGTTCTGGAGATGTGTGTGCCTTCGGGACAGTACCCACCGCTTGTTTTCGGGTTGAAGAGCGGGTAATGGACAAATCCAGTCCTCCCGCCACACTGCTTGGGTCGGCTATACTTGACGGTGATCTTCACCTGGTCAGTCTTGACATTTTTGGAGGATATGAACAAAACGATGAAGGTAACTGGAGTGTCCCCTTTCTTGCATGGGAGGTCATGAGGTTTCCCTGACGTCGCATCAGTTGGCATGTCGACCCAGTCTTTGACGCCGGATTTCCGATATGCTACCCTCTGATAGCTGTTGGCAGATGAGTAGATGCTGACGGTCTGACCGGTCTTGACGGTGATCTTGAAGACAGAAATGGTGAATGGGATAGTTGTAAGTGTTGCAGTGCCAGTAGTGCTCGCGGCCCCGGCGCTCATCTTGATTGAAACGGGCTTAGGAGGGATCTCCGGTATGGTCGGAATCATGACTCCGCTCGTATCCTCAATAGCCTGGAGAGCGAACTCCTGAGCGAAAGTGAAGAATGTATCGACGAAGCTACCCAGTTCCGAGAGGCGCTGCCTCTCCGCAGCGCCGGAGAATCCTACGGGCGTCCCCAAAACCCAGTCGTTCATAGAGTGTAGGTTCCGGTGATTCCCCATGGACTGGAAAAATACACTCGCTGCATAAGCAGCTAGTCCATCATGCGCGTATAGAGGTACAGCAGGGTCGTATTCAGCGCCACTGAACTTCTTCCCAGGCCATTCAGTGTTGGAAGTCGGAAAGACGACATTAGCGAAATAGTTTGCGGTTCCGTCCCGAATATACTCAGGATCGCGAGCATTTCCCATCTTCATGTCTTGCACGCAATGGTACAACTCGTGTGCCACTGCAAATAAGGCTCGAGGAACGTTAGTAGTCGCCTCTGTCGTCCACCGCTGATACATCTGGATTTGGAAGGGTGACTTTTTCTCGTACGGATTGCTCGTCGCTGCTGTAGTGGGGCCGTCGACGGCAGTGGTCAGAATAATGACGATTACCGCTGGAAGCTTTGCGAACTTGTTGTATGTTTCGAAAGTCTCTGCGAGGGACTTTTCAAGAACTGGTTTGACGGCATTCTTGGTCTTGGTAGATAGCTGGCTCCACTTCCGAGTGTAGGTCACAATAATCTTTGTGTCCCCAAACTGCTTGGGATAGCCGGCGAGAGGGTGGCAGTCAGTCTTGACTGTCCACTTGCGACCGACATCCCCGGGCTTGAGATTCCAATACTTATCACACCTACTCCATTGCGCCTGTGCTGAAGAAAGGAAGAAGAGAAGAAGGCTGAGTAAAAAGAAGCGCATCTTGGAAGAATTATACTCAGATATGCCAAGAGCTCCTTGACTCGTTCAACCACAGGTTGGATAGGGGCTGTTTGGGTTTGGGAAACAGCTGGCGTCGGTACTGCTAGGAACAGAGCTACGTATTTATTGCACGTTTCGTCGCAACGGACTGAGCTTGGTTAGTGACGGCAGACGCCGCATTCACACGGAGCTGTGACATTTCTTAGCATTTAAGTTACGCCACGCCAGGGCCTCCTTAACGCCTCCTGTGTTCACTGTTGTCAAAGAGGCTACTTCCAAGTCTGCGCTATGGCCTGCTACCGTACAAAGCAAAATTAGTTATCAATAGTTAATGAATAGTCTAACTTCGTTCTCTTCAATGGAGCGTTCGGGACCCCGCCACAAGCCCTGACTAGGTGAGTATTGGTTCCTAGTGCATCTCCTCGGCATATCTTTGCCGATCTAACCAAGAAGTTGTCAAGATGTGGTGGGGGTTAGCACCTCTTATAATCCTCTGACACAGTGCGGCCAGTGTCCTGCAATATTTTACTGACGCAAAAGCCGATGGCATGAATGCCCGGTCCTGTATTTCTGGTAACAAAGAACGACAACGTTCTTTCACTAGTTAACATTCGTTCAAAACTGTCTCCTTGAATTAATGGCGATAAGGACACCTCATGTTACTGAATACGTTCAATCGCTCTATGCAAGGCATCTGAACTCTTTGAATCAGGGTACGCAAGACCTGAATTGTCTTGCGAGGTGGATAATGAGCTAACTGCCACCAGGGAACGAGGAAGCAATCGAACATAGGCTACAACAGCTAGACCACTTGTGCGAATGCATCATCCGTACCGAACCTGTTTATCATCCCCGCCGAACCAGTCTTCCAACTGCCGTGCTTCCTCGCTAGGTGCGTAGTTGATAATGGTACTCTTCATGGTAGTGTAGGCGTGGTACGAGCTAATCCCGTTCTCACTACCCACACCACTAGCGTTGGTAGCCCCTCCCCAAGGGCTGCTAGGATCGTTACGATGGTGCGTATTTACCCAAACGATGCCGGCCTGAATGCTCTGCGAAACCTCAAAGGCCTGACTGATATCCCTGGTCCAAACCGCAGCGCCCAGGCCGAACTGTGTGTCATTGGCCAGCCCAATAGCCTCAGACACCGTTTCGAACTCGGCAATCACTATCGCGGGCCCGAAAGCTTCTTCGTGCCAAATCCTGCTATGCGTGATATTGTTGGCGAGTGTAGAAGATAGGATGGTTGGCGGGAAGAAGAAACCGCGGCTAAAGTCGGCACCATCGAGCTTAGAGGAGCCCTTCAATCGTGCTCCTCCGATGAGAACTTTGGCATCTCCAGCAGCTACAGCATCGTCGATGAGGCTTTGCAAGTTGCTCATTTGCCTTTCAGAAATCAGAGGACCCATAGACGAAGCTGGATTGGTGGGAAGCCCTATGTTGTCACAAATCATTTCTGCTTTTCTGATCAGCTTGGGTAGAAAGGCTGATGAGATGCTCTTGTCGATGAGTATGCGCGTTGCTGCAACGCATGTCTGGCCACTTGCGATGAAGGCCCCGAAGGCGACACCGTTCACAGCAGCGTCAATATCGGCGTCCTTGAGGACCACGACTGGTGCCTTGCCCCCGAGCTCGGCAGTCAGGTGAGCCAGGTTCTGCCCAGCAGCGGCCCCAATGAGGCGACCTGCTGCGGTGCCGCCAGTCACATCAACCTTTCTGATCAGACGGTGTGCGGTGAGTGCTTTTCCAGTGATGGCCCCAAAGCCAGGGACGACGTTGAACACGCCGTCGGGCAAGCCTGCCGCTTTCAAGATGGGCCCTAGCCTCAGGCTTGAAAGCGGTGTCAGCTCACTCGGCTTCAGGAGAATGCTGTTTCCCGCTGCCAGTGCAGGGGCGAGCTTCTTAACGGCAATCAGAAGTGGGTGGTTGAAGGAAGTGATCTGCGCCACAACACCGAGGGGCACGCGGTCAACCCAGTTGTGAAGTTTGCCAGAAGTGGGAAGCACAGCCCTTTCTTCAGTGCGGAGCAAGGCTGCATAGTACCGAAACCACCGGACGAGAGAGGGCACTTGAGCGCGCATCTCTCGAATGGCTCGCCCGGTCTGCGCAACCTCGAGCAAGATGAGTTCCTCCAGGTTTTCGGTGAGCAAGGTGGCGGCCTTTTCTAGTACCTCTGCTCGCGTCTGGCGTGGGCATTTTGACCAGACTCCAGATTCAAACGCACTCTGCGCCGTCTGGACTGCGATATCGATGTCTTGCTCTGACGCGGTATGGCATCTAAAGGATCAGCGAAAAGGCATGCGGCCGTGAAACGAGAGTCGGGACTCACTTCGCAACCAGCTCTCCGGTGGCAGGACTCTTGATAGTCAGTCTGTCCAAGTGAGTCAGAATAAGAAATATGCGTAGGTAGGTCTGGAGAGGGTGGTTTCGGCCACTCACTCTTGGCCATTGCCAGTCACCATCTGGCCACCGATCCAAAGATGGTATGCGTCCATGTTGATATGGCACGTTTGTTTCTTAACGAGGGTTTAGCGCGAATGTTGACAAGTAGCTGCTGTGATCTCAGTAAGATGTCAAGGCGAAACCAGATAGAGCAGCAGGCGGGGTTGCTTTGGTAGAACACTTAAGTAAGGCTTACGGCGTACTCCGTCCGCCGAGGTCACTGATAGCTGATAGCGAGATGGTGGATCTGATGTGAGTACATGTGCATTATTAGTGGCCCGCTTGGAGCTCAGGTTAACATGCATATTTTATTAAATTAGGCCATATTCAAGAGCTCCAACTATGGTCACGTGCCTTGCATGGCCAGTAAGGAGAACTCTGGCTTGTTAGATAAACTAGACCTAATTAGGAAGCCGTCTCACCAAAGACGAGATAAAGATAAGTCATGGCTTTGGCTTTGTCTGCTGCCCCGGACGCCAAAGGCCTTAACTACCCCACGGGGCTGCACCGAAAACTTTCTTAGACGCTATCAACATCTCATACATATCTCGAGGTCGCTATTACTTGCGGGGAACGGCGGGATGGGGTCCAGGCCATTAGCTGATTCACAATGAGGCAAGTTTCCGCGAAGGGCATGCGATCCCGATAACCCGTTCAACAATAAGAGGGCTGTAACGTGTGCCCTTTAACGAGCACACAGACGAGCATTCGACGAGCCTTGTACACCTTTCTCCCTGCTCCCAGCCCTGGTATTAGATTATCCCTCGCAACCAAAACAAGCCACTCCCTTCTCTTATCCTCTTCTCACATCACTCACCATGAGGTCAAAACGGGTCATATCTATCGTCTGCTGTCACGCTGAAGGTGAAGTAGGCGATGTGGTCATAGGAGGTGTGATTGACGTCCCCGCAAAGACGATGCACGACAAGCTCGTCCGTTACATGGCTGAGAAGGACGACCTGCGCCAGTTGCTTCTCCAAGAGCCACGAGGACGTCTGGAAATGAGCGTAAATCTTGTGGTGCCGCCTTGCCGCCCCGACGCTGATGCCGGCTTTCTGATCATGGCCCCTGGCGACTGGGTACCCATGTCTGGTTCCAACACTGTGTGTACGACGACGGTTCTTCTCGAGACTGGCATCGTGCCGATGAAGGAGCCTGTCACGGAAGTCAGACTTGACACCGCGGCGGGCTTGGTTGTGGCAACAGCGGAGTGTCAGGGTGGCAAATGCAAGTCTGTGTCTTTCGACAACGTCCCTGCCTTTGTTTACGCCCTTGATAAAGAGATCAGTGTTCCTGGGCTTGGAAAGGTTGTCGTGGACATTGCATACGGGGGCCAGTGGTATGTCCTCGTCCAGGCAGACGCACTGGGTGTTATGGTGGAAACTGTCAACGCGGATCGTCTCATCGACCTCGGAAAACGGCTGAAGAGCGCTGTTCTGGCTGAGTGCATGCCCACACATCCCGAGAACCCGGCAATCTGTGGCATCAACAACGTCATCATCACGGAGCCGCTACTCGATGGGCCTGAGGGCAAGACAGTCAAGCATACGGTCATTGTCACGCCAGGGAGGCTAGATAGAAGCCCATGCGGTACTGGCAGCTCTTCTCGCCTCGCCATTTTCCATGCCAGAGGCCTTGTCAAAGTTGGTGAGCCGGTCAGGTTTAGGAGCATTATCAACACTCAGTTCATCGGTCACATTAGAGGCACGGCAAAAGTTGAGGACCTGGATGCAGTGCTGCCGACAATCAAGGGAAGGGCTTGGATCACCGGTGAGAAAAATGTGCATCTTGATCCAGAAGATCCATTCCCGACAGGATTTTTGCTTTGAGTAGAACATGCAAAAGAATGCAAGAAAGGGTCAGGAAAGTTTTCTCGATACGAAGTTCCGTCTCCGTGAGGCACCGTATCAAAGAACACAATGATAAAATTTGCCAGGACTAAAAACCAATGCTCTAAGAAATTTGAACCAAGACAATATTTGGTTCTCGTAAGTGTAGCCATAGCAGAAACATTATATAGTAATAGTCAGCTATTCGGCCGCGCAATTACTTTATTTTACCCCTGTCATGAAATGTATTGGAAGAAAACAAGGGCTTCCGTGAGCAAGCGTCTAACATATCTACAAGCAGTATTGCCCTCCTCACCAGGGACACCGAGACTCGAGGATAAGAATTTGATGGGATTAGGTAGAAATGAAATGCCGAAACTACTACACTGGCATCTTACAACTTTGCTCTAGTCTTGGTAACCTTTTCAACCAACTCAAGAACTCCTTCGGCACAGCCAAATGACCCCATATAGCCCCAACCCGAGTGTCCGTAGTTGTGGATAATCCACGTCTCATCATCTAGTTTCTCCTCCTCGAGCCTGAGGCCATCCTTCCTCCATGGGCGGAAGCCAACACCATGCCGGACGACACTCAACCCTGAAACACCCTTGCCGCCAGCAATCTCCGGACAAAGAGTCACAATTCGTTCCATGATCCGGTTCGCGGTGTTAGGGTCGGGCTGAGAGTCCCAGTTGCCGATCTGGTATGTGCCTCCAATGACCGTACCACCTCCAGCCGCTCTCTGCATGGCGTAAATCTCCTCGCCGCTCCCATCGAGGGTGCTTGAGCACATGAAGAGAGGAAAGTTCTTGGGAGTCTCGTTTCGTACAACCACGATCTGACCGCGAGAGGGAGCGACTGTTGTATCCTCGACGCCGCCAAGCTTCAAAGAACCGAGGCCAGTAGCATTAACAATGATATTCGCTGTTCGACCTGTGTGGCTTAGGTACTTGGCTTCTTCGATGTGAGCGAGGATACCGCGTTTGACCGTAACGCCGTGCTTGAGACACTGGCCGAGAATCCACGGGAGAAAGATTGCTGTGTTCATACAGATACCCTGATACTGAAATCCCGAGTCATACCCAGAGGCTATCTCTGAAGGGTGGTTTTCGCGGAAATTCTTAAAGATCTCTTTGAACCATGGATTATCCTGGTAGAAGTGAGATGAGAAGCCAGACGCGTCAGCCTCCATGTCCTTGTTTCGACGGATTACATGAGTCGCTACAGATGCAGTGTTAATCATGATAACCAGGGTGGATGGAGAGGGGTCAGCAACGCACTCTGGAAATGAATCCCTGCTTCAGGAGTTTCTTCTGTCAACTTCTTCAGAGCAACCCAAGTTCTTCGTTCCCAGCGGCTTCCCTCCTTGGGGGCCAATCTGGAAAGTTGTCAGAACAGACGCAGGCTGACTACCATTACCCGCGTTACTCACGGAATGACGTTGGCTCCTGCCCAAGGGGAGGCATATTCAGCATCATAGTCACCGGGCATATGTTTAGCGACCACGGTAACATCATTGCCTTCTTCTTTGGCCAGTAGCAAAGCTGATGTGAGGCCAATAACACCGGCACTGATAATGTTAGCTGAGCCGACTTACTTCTAGTTTCAAGAGATCAAAATATTTACCCCACAACGACGACGGTATTGGTCATTTTGGACGTTCGAACAAAGAAGAAACCTGAAAGCGGTATGCGCACCTAAGTCTGCTAGTCGACCTCCTACTGTAAGGAACTGGACAGACTTAAATATTGGCTATTCACTGGGTGGATGATGACAAGTCACAACCGCCGATTAGCCACACCGCAATTGCATGCTCATTAGAGAAGAACTGAGCGAGCCAGCTGACGACTTACAAGACCAGCCTGGTAGGCCTGTTGCTTTTTTGTGGCCCACGATGGCCTATACTGAGCCGAGGTGTGCCTCTTTTGATCGGGTGTGACCCACATGGCATCTCGGGACCAAACTTATCTTGAACATTCGCGCTTATCAACGCGGTAACTTTCCCAGTTAACTCCAAGATTGGGGTCATGCGGGGGATATTGATACTACCCTCGGACCCTCAACCGAAGCTGAGAGAGCGGTTGCCCCGGCTGCTGTTGCCGAAGTGGTAAGGCTTTCCGTTTGAACGCGGAAACGTGCCTGTTTTTGGGACATGTGTTTTTACGAAAAGAGTCTAAATAGTACTCTTGAATATTAGCGTAGAGTAAAAAAACCACATGTGTAAATAAAAGGAAGAAAAGCCAGAGCATCAGTAACAGAAAAATGATTATAATCCTTTTCAAATAGAGATAGCAAAAAGAAACATATTCCAAAAGTTTGATCCCACATACAACAGCGGGGATTCGCTGGTCGTCACCGACCCAACTACTAATCCGCCCCTCACTGGCTTATCTATGGGAGAGCGGACGGGATCCCGAGTTCTCCAGTGGGTATGGTCGTATGTATGAGGTGGGTGTCCTGTTTGACATCAAGGAGATACACCGCAATGGCACCCCAAGACGCAATGAGAACCGTGAGGCAACTCTGTTTCCCGATTCACTTGATGGTAATGTTAGAAGGGATTTTAATTTAAGGTGTGTGAAAAGGCCAGAAGAGCCACGTTGAACTGGTGCTCAGTCAAGTTAAGATCATCCTCCATGCCAATAATATTGGTGGCCGAGATGATTGTACGCTCGATTAGCGAAAAGGCATAAGTGATGCAGATCCAGGGCAGGAGATGAAATTCAATTCTTCGAACGAGCCTTTTGCTCAAGGCAGGGTTGCTGAGACCTTCACTGACTTTATGAATACAAACATTAGACCCCAAAGTCACAGAAGGATGCTGATGATCTCCAGGGTAACTGAGAGGGTATCCATGTCAATTGTACATTGTGTTTCAATGTAGATACTTGGCTGAAAGTCGAAGACGCTAGGTAACCCATTACCTTAACTGAGTCTAGCACCCTCATCTTGACTCCTGAGAGCTATTTTTCGGTCATGTTCTCCGTGAGTTGGGGATTGATGTAGGTGGGAGACTCGCTTTTACCTGCCCTGTAGAGATGATGCAACAAAGCAAGAGGGGACCTAGAGCCAGGTCATTTCATGCAGGCCAGGTGCTTTCGTTTATAGGCTCAGCAGGCGAAAACAGCTCCCCGGCACGGGTTCTATTATGCCAAGTGAACAGCGTATCTATACCGATTACTGGCTGCAGAACTGGACTGCGAGTGCAATGATGACATACAATACCGAGCCGAGAGTTATAACCAGTGCACTGTTCTTAACAACAAGAATTCTACACCGGTCATCAACTAACCCTTCATTGTTCTTATTTGTTGGTATCAATGAGTCTCCAAGAAATAGCACCGGGCACAATATCAAAGAACACAATGGCCCATTCACTTGGCTATGGGGGCCCTATAAAACGGCTCAAGATATCGCTAGCGAATCTCAAACTCTAGGTACAAGGGAGATCCCCCGTGGCAAAGCCAAATGCCTCGTCATCTGGCATCTCGAAGAGATTGAAGTCCAAAGTCAAGATATCAGCAAGGTTCAGATCATTCCCAGGAGAGATTTCCGGGATGCTTTCGGTCTGAGTTGGCGGCTGTCTGGCACAATTCGTCCCTTCGACGTCCGAGAAATCTACATGACAACAAAAAGAGGATGGAAAGGAAAATAGCTCGTCTAGGCGGTTCCGGATGCTGAAAGTTGCCCACATTGAAGCTCCCTCCCCGGTACTCGCCCGATCATGAATGCCATGTTCAGTTTCCTTCTTCATATCGTTCTCAAGCCGGCTGATTTTACGCAGGACAAGGTCAGACCCTCCATAGCGAGTTTTCATCCTCCCCAAGACCTGGCGGATCACACCGAGTGCTTCGTCTCTTGCTAGGCCGTCTTCTTGTGGTTGGCGAGGATAACATATCAAAGGTACTGCTGCGACCATGCAAAAGAATCCATGAATCTGAATGAGGCGGGCCGTCTCCTCCCTGCAGTGGATTTCTTCATATAGACGGGCGATACAATGGGACGCGGCCAAGGAGGAGGCCGCGATACAAGACCGCTTGGCCTGTTTACCAGCGAGTTGGAGGAGAATGATAACAACAAAGTATGTGATGTGCAAATCACACGCAGGGCGATAGAACGGCCGCCTTCTACCTAACGAGTCGTAGAGTAGCAGCTCCTCAGGTAGGTTCTGAATCCAGTCACACAACCGCGCGACTATGGCTGCAGCACTCTCTTGATTCAGAGGAGATTGCCCGCTGTTGATATCTACAATCATGGTCATAGTGTCTGACAACTTCAGGGCCTCAGGCAGAAAATGCGGCTCGGTTGATATGACGGCAAAGTCCTTTGCATCTAGGGGAGCTATGTCGTAGTCTTGGGGCCTGAGAGCTAAAGGGCGACCCCAGCAAGAAGCGGCTAGCCTATCTGAGTACTAGATAAACAATCAGCAATGCAAGATGTTGTAAGCTTTGTCGGACGATGAGTACGAACAACTAGCTGCCAGAAGATTCGACGGAGGCACCCTGGGTTGGCGTGCCGGTCGTAGGTAGAGCTATGGTGAAGGCCCATCTGCAGTGCCAGGCGGATGGCCATGCCGAGCCAATGCCAGGGTCCGTCAAACGTCACCTGGTCAGTAGAAAGGACACTATAGCACGTCATCAGACAAAGTGTCTTTAGCAGAGCTAAAGTGTCGTCTTCAAAGTTGAGGTATATCAAGGTCTTGACCTTCTCATACTGCGTATGGCAGAGCTTGACACTCTCAAGGTCATGTAATACTAGGGACCCGGCTAGACAAACAGACTGCTGAAGTAATACGGATGGTTCAGGGCCAACGAGATCATCCTTCTCGACGACCGGATAGAATGGGTAGACGTGTTTGAAATAGGCATCAGTCAAGGCTTCAAGCAGGATAGGCCGGGGGAGGACGTGTGCCTTGGTAAGGTCAAGAATTGCAGCCTTGATGCCCCGCGACTGCGGATGACCACCAACAATCTCCGACTGTTGACGCGAGGCATCGTATGACATGACGGTTGATGGAGATACAAAGGCCATCGGAGGGTACGCTCCTGGGCCTATATCCCCATGACTGTCGGGTCTTGATAGAGTTGGCGATGGCAATCTGGCCGAGGGGCCGATTAGAGAAGTTCCGGCGGGAGAAATAGCTGTGTCCAGGCGCTCATCGCTCTCCGGTACTCGTTGAGACCGCCGAGCCCCCGCTCCCTTTCGGCGTCTGCGGACACCATCTCGGCGACTAAAGAGCACATGTCAGCCAACGGCTAAGTAATTCATGAATCATCAGTTGAAGCTCTCAGGGCTCTCACACGCATTGATGATTGAGACGTCGACAATTCCTGCACACCTGATCCGGTCTATCCTGCAGATCGCATTTCACCTGGATGGTTATTAACTAATGTGTCTGAAAAATCGACGGACTAGGCATCGCCCGAGTTGTCGTACTTTTCGGGCATGGCACTCGACACAAACCACGTTTGCGCGGTCTCGCAAAGGCCGAAACTCGTCCATTGTCTCTGCCGATGAGCATGTGGGGGACAAAGGGGAACTCTCTGGATGAGCCGAGCTACTCGGGAGTTGGTAAAGAATTGTATGGGCTGATATGTAGCCCCTGCGAGATATCAAAACGCGGAGAACTGAGGCTGGGTTAACAAGAGGTGTGGAAATCTATCCACGACACTAAAGGTTCCAGGGTGGCTGTCCGATTATTGGTCAATCACGTGACGCCGCTCGGCATTCGGCACAACCAAGGGGGCTGCTTGATTGGCTGGGAAGGGGGCCAAGTCCTCCATGGTTATCACACCCTGGAGAGGGGTGCTCGAAGAACCCTTGAACAATACCAAAGTCTTGGAGGTGATAATCACGCCTAGAGGCCAATGCTTGCATATGTGCGTTTCAAACAAGCATCTATAGCCAACTCTCACGTCCCCCGAATGCCTGGGATGAGGAGAACGAGCATGTGACGTGCACTACATAAGGTGGATCTCTTCAAGGTCGGTCTCTTCGGCTCGGTTGATCCGATGAGTGATGCTTAACTTGGGCGAGCTAATTGTTGTTTATGCCAATGATTCGGCAAGGATACCCTTGAGAACGTGGCTTAGATGCCCAGAGAGGGTAACCGAAGCCTGAGCTTGTCAATAGAGTGTGTTTTCGACATCAATAGCGTACTCAATAGCGCTCCTCCTGAGCGAGCACTAGTGGCCTTTAGGCTAAGGAGATTCAGGAACCAGCGCTCCAGTGGATGCTAATTTCAGGTCCACCTCCTTGGTTGGAAAGCAACGTTTGTGCCAAAGACGCCACTCATTAGCTCAAGAGCGGCCTGCAGGTATTTGCCCCGTTTCCCGTGTCAACAAGACCTACTAATACTTCTGGTTCTGTGCTTCAACGCTTGGATTCTCCAGGACTTACATTCCTTTATTTCCTCCTCCAACCAAAGGCCTTTCATCAGTCATCACCATGGGAGCCTCTATCTCGGTCGTCAGTAACCCCGAAACAGTCGCGAATGCCATTTTCACGAGCGGTGTCAGCGTCACAAGCGCATCTTGGAACACCGGGTTCAACCAAAATGCCGTGGGCACCTTCACCAATGGCCCCTTGGGTGTTGCCTCTGGCGGCATCCTGACAACAGGCGGTTCCAAGGACGCGGCAGCATACCAAGCGTATTCCGTCAACATAGAGAATGGAGCGGGCGCATCCCAGACATATTGTGGAGGGGATTCCCTTGATGCCGCTGTCTTGTCAGTCGACATTGAGGTCCAGCAGGGGTTCAATGGGGTGGAAGTCGAATTCGTTTTCGCGTCGGAGGAGTACTCATAGTAAGCTGCTACATGTCGTCTATTCTGTATGCTGCTTTTACTAATCGGTCTAGCCAACACGCGGACCCGATCGGGATTTTTCTGGACGGCGAGCAGTTCGCCCTGAACCCAGACGGGAGCAGAATAACGGCCAAATCGTACTACCTGTCCCCCGAGCGAGCCATCAAGAACCCGAACCAATTTCTCAACTATCCTTCTTGGTCCACGTACGCGGCAACTTCGAAGCCGCTGATCATGGGCATTGCCGCAGCACCTGGGGCACACACCATGGTCTTTGCCATTTGCGACGCCGTCGACGGACAGCATGACTCGGCGCTCTTTGTGAGGGCGAAAGGTTGCAAGGACTGTGTGGCAGACGTAAAGATACACTATCTCACGCAAACGACCACAGTCGCGTCGACTTTTACTTCGACCATCGAGCCAGTCAGCTCGGCTGCCGGCACCGTCTTGATTGGTGTGACGGTGGACCCAACGACAACAGCTACGTCTAGCGAGCCAGCGACGACGACTTCCAGCGAGCTCTTCACGACAGAGACATCCACCGATGCTTCGACAGCCACTTCTACCGAGTTCTCATCAACATCAACTGAGGACTCTACCAGATCCACCGATGCTTCTGCTACGTCCAGTGAATCGTCAGCCGAGTCGCTCGCTACGACAACTGCGGCTAGCGATAGTTCAACGGTACCAACCACGGACCCCTCAGTTTCTACAACTACGGCTACTACCGACTCTTCAATCACAACACTGTCACAGGTCACCACCACATCAACTATCGACTCCACAATGACAACCCTGACGACATCTCGAAGAGGGCCTTGCCGCCCTGCTTAGCACGATCTTCTAGCTTGTTAACGCATAGAGGGCTAGGCTTCAGGTATAGAAAGAATATAGAAAGAGTATAGAAAGAATATCGTATAGTATTATACCTTAATATTAATAAGAAATAACTTATATCTGCCTAGCTATATTCTTATATAGTAATAAACTTCTTATAGGTAATTTAATTGCTCTAACCTCTGTATAAGAAATAAGAGGGAATTATGTCTTAAATAGTATTTATTTAGCATCGGGTTATAATACTATGATGTGTTGACAATGTGTCTTTAATCATAGTTGTAGCCCGGCCCTTGATCGGTCAACTAAGCCAGAAGATCGCATAGTGTTTATAATTTTAAGTTCTGTCGTAGAAGCATATAAAAGGATAGGTTTTCGAGGCTCTAAGCGCGTTTCGTTCTCAATGGGAGGGGGTGTATTTACATCGATTTTAGATTTAATAAGCAAGTTTAAATTAAAGACGTAGGGCTTTAGGTACGGCCACCACAAGATGATACCGTATAGGGAAGAACATCTACTGCACTTATTCGATATGATCCTGACTTGAATGTTCATGGAGCTGTATATTTCGTCTCCGGAGGCAGCGGCCTTTCCAGAGGTATCTCGGTCTACCTATATCACGAACGGAAATATCACTTTCGAGCCCCTGATTGAAGAGGTTGCGTCTTGATGGCCACAACTACTCGCAGGGCACTAGGCTCATCTCCACTAACACTTGACCTTGATAGAAAAGAGCCGACCCCCAGTCGACGTTGCGTTGCTACCCAAGTACGACCCCGCGGTTGCAAAGTACAAGGTATCCCGGTCCTTGACTGTTTGACCAAATACGGCCGAAACTGGTTGGCTGATGGCCGGGGAGCCATATTCCCAGGAAGCCAACATGTGACCCTCACCTTCTTTGGTAATCCTCTCAATACCGTTGAGGCTCCCTAGTCCTGTGGCGAGAAATGCAACACCGTCTCGTCTCAGGGTAAAATCATCGAATGTTGACCCTTTGAGTCCCTGTGCGACGACCTCTGCCGGTGTCCCGACTGCCAGACCCTCGGAAGTGATGGCGAGGCGACCGTACAGGCCCTGGTTCGTGTTGGTAAAGTACAGCCATCCGTCCTGAGCGTGAACTCCGTTGATGCCGAGCAGGAGGTTTGAGTCAGGCTCGGGTATAGGGGCAAAGAGGGGATCCGTGCTGACGGTTTCGACGCATCCTGTTCGTGTGTCAAGCCGGAGTAGAGAGCCAGCAGCGCAATCCGCAACAAGGAGGTAATGCGGCGAGTGAGGGACAGGTGTCAGGCCGTTGAGCCATGTTGCCGACGGAATGGGGAATGCCTTGATCTTGGCCCCAGCCTTGGTGAGCGTGACATGATGAACAACGTTGGAACCCGGCTCTACCAGTCCTTCGTCCCACGAGAAGTTACTGGCAGTAGCAACGATTGTGTTTGGCAACGGGGATGCGAGCCCGAAGATGGCCGAGGAATATGGCGCCAGAGAAGTGAACAGGTAGGGGGCCCTCTTTGACAAGCGGCCGAGAGGGTTGATGCTGTAAAGATCTCCGGTGTAGGCGTTGCACACCACAATAGTGCCATTTGGAAGAATAGTGAGGTTTTCAATGCGAACTGAAGGTGGGAACTGAGTAAGGAGTCTCGGTTCTGACATAGCCCAGGTTACGTGCACCAGCAAGTGCAGCCATATCAATAGAGTTGACGATCTAAACGGGAAGTGCATAGTGACGACAATAGATTGTGAATGCGTCAAGTTTGATAAGGTGGGAGTCATAATGAGAAGTATGGGTATGGCTCTACTTAAATAGTTGCGTGACCAACAATAGGAAGACATGCCGACTACAGAGTTCGCACCCAAGGCAGAGGCTCGAAGGGTTCTCAGGACCCTTACGTATAAGGTTTCATGGTGATATGGAGACTGTAAAACTTGTAGCGATTGGCTGTGTCGTTCAGTTTTCCAAACTCGGTCTAGTTGTGAACGGTTGAGCCAGTGGCCCCAGCACTGAGTTGCATTGCGGCATATAGGGTACGGCAGCTAGCCTAACCGTATAGATCACGCCAATGACACCTTTCCTCTGACAGCTGCATAAATGATTCGTTCAAAGCTCGCCGATGACAGTCTTCCTCCAACAAAACGCCTAAGTGGCTGGCTTATCTTTACCCCATTACAGAGGGACAGACCATCCATAAAATCAAGTGGGGTTTTCGTTCCCATTTCCTATTTAAGGGCAACAGCGTCGGGTGTTGCTCCAAGAGGCCTGTTCGAGGAACACGGCAAACCGATCGACCCGTGTGTGGGGCCGGAACACTGCAAACATGTCATTCTTAGATCGCCACGAAGACCAACAGTTACTGGCACCATTTAAGCCACCGTTTAGGCGGAAATTCAAGCCAAAGGCCAAGACAGGCTGCTACACTTGCAGGTGAGGCGACGGAAGACCACGAACCCGCTTGCTGTCAGGTTAATACTAAACCGACTTGGCTCCCAAACAGGATCCGAAGAGTCAAATGTGATGAGACACGGCCAGCATGTCGTCGTTGCATGTCCACTGATCGGGTGTGTGATGGGTATCCGTCCGTATTCCGAGTCTTGACCCTCGGGGGCCCCCAGTCATCACCTTTAGTGCCCACCCCTAGTTTTCAGCCGACGCTCTCTCTATATCAGCCAAAGTCTTCCACAGTTACGACCGATCAAGTTGATAAGCTGGCCCTTTACTTCCACCGAAAGCACCGAGACAACGTATGCTATCGGGACGAGGCCCGGGCAATACTGGCAAATCTCTCAGATCCCACTGTCCGCCATGCACTCGATTCTCTGATCGCTCTCCGTGACGGGATCGGGACGACAACACACACCGCAATTATTGGCACCGACGGCGTACTCATCAATCAACACAGCTTGGATGCGTACAGCACGGCAGTCTCCAGCCTCGCATCTCGGCTGAGAGAGGAGCCCAACCGAATATCTGCTCTGGTTGCACTCGTGTGTTGCCAGATGTTTGTGAGCATAGAGGTCATGATGGGCGACTACACTACCGCCTTCCAACACTTCCTTCTAGGACTTCGTATCATGCATCAATACCGGAACCGCCCAAGTGTGAGCGACAGCGGCCGGGTAGTTCCTTGTTGCAAACTCGGTTTTCCTCATCTGGATGAGTTTGCCATCAAGCTCTTCGCCTCAGGCTATCCTGGGCCCAAGCACTTATCTTCCTGCGAAAGAGGGCGCAGTAGCTCCGCGACAAGCAACATCAACACCATTTTGTGCGATCAGGCGCGCAGCGATCTGAGCGTTCTTTCCGTCGAAGTACTGGAGTTTTTGAAACGAGTGACAGACTTGCGGACCCAGTACCAAGTAGCCGAGTTGAAGGCAACGAGGGCGCAGATCCTGGGCTGCCTGCAGTCTTGGGAGGAGACGTACTCTGAAACAGCTAATGAGATGATTAAGCGAACAACTGCCAAAGGAGTACGTTTTGGAGCCGCATTCTCCCTTCTCCTTCATGGTGTCTTGAAAGTGGTAGTGAACCTGGCAATTGGGGCCTCTACAGATGATGTAAACGCACTGGGAGAACAGGTCGCTACGATTAAAGCGATCGCTCATATGGCTACGGAAATAGGGAAAGCAGTTTAATAGTTAAGAAGGCCGGGTTTAATGTCAAAGTGATCAATGGTGCCTAATTGATGCTTTCATTCAAGGTATGGTTCGCGATTGTACGTACCCAATGAATGATGCCCCTGGCCAAATCAGTGCCATACATTACAAAAGGAAAACACCAAACAACCATACTACCAGCAAAGGTGAGAAATATCGTCCTGTAGGTACCCAGGCAATCGGGCTACAAAGGCTGTACGACACAACCATTCAATACCCTAAGTTCTCACAGCGTGGCTGCGCATATGACTTGACGTAGGGAGAAGCGATCTTCTGGCTTGGTTCCCATCAAGGGCCGGGCTACAAATAGTAAAGAACAGATTGTAGGGAGAAGCAATTCCACGAGATGACCCAGCCATCGTTTGCACACTATTACTAAGGTCATCACCACGATGGTCGACACTCTTGCTAACTTTGTACCGAGTCCCAAGACTCGCACTAATTCCCTAGCTACACGCGTCGCCGTGACCCATTGTGGCCATGGGACCAACAATTGCCTGGTGACCCGTGCATGGCGTCATCTTTCCCAAGTGTCGGATCATAAGAAACGAGAATACTGGAGCTATGGTTTGAAGTAGGTAGTTCGACTCCGCGGCTACTGAATCCCGTGTTATGATGTTGCGGGGTCTAAGCCGCTTGGAGAATCTCGGCGCCGAGAGCTCATGGCTAGCGTTACCCGGGTATCACTAAGTCCGGGCTTTCATACCGATACTTCCGGAGCCGGAGCCCAGTTTCAAAGCCCCTTTATTATGATAGAACCTTCCGCTTCTTAGAAAGCGGCATGCACAACGAATTAACATCTTCCAAAAGAACTGATTAACCTATAACGGCAACTATGGCAACCATCGACTATTACCAGAGACTGACTGAAGAGTACAACCTCAACAACATACCTCTTCTTGTCGCTTCAGGAGTCAGCTTCGCCGTGGGATACATGCAATATGTCTACGCCATCAGAGTTTTACTGCGTGAAGGCAATGGACCCATTCCATTCTGGATGCATTCCTTCTACCTCGCCCATGACTCTACATGGTCTTACATCCTTGGAAGAGCTGCATCGAGATATAACGAGCATTGGTTTCTACGAGGAACATCAACGGCTTTGTTTGTATGGACTACCCTCGAGATTTTCTGCATCCATCGTTCCATCACAAAGACCCGCAATGCGTGCTTCTCTTCCGTCCTTGGACCGAACCCTTCCCTGGCCGCTGTTCTTCCCTATGCCGCCTTTCTCCAGATGGCCATGTACTGCGTTGTTTGGTTCGGAATCATCCTGATGGGCGAAGGTTGCGTTATGCAGTGGTTCTGCTTGACAAACGTCCTCATCATCGTCGGTCCAACGCACGAGTACCTCCGACGTGGCTCGCGAGACGGTCTCGCCCTAGGATTCTGCCTCGTCAACATTATCTGCGCTATCTGGACCTTCACACCATTTAGCATGTGGGCTCTTACACTTCCCGAGATCTTTGCCCAGCCAATGTACTACTGTGCTGGCTGTTTCATGCTCTTGTACTCGATCTGGGCATTCTACATCGTCTACAGTTACCCAGCCAAGAAACCCTCAAAGACGGATCCATCCCCCATTTGGTAACTCAAGAGGCCCATCGCAATCCAGGAGCACAACTGAGCATTGAGACTAAAGGCACGTCTCCAGGAAGGATGTCCTTGAGATCAATAACAACAAAAAGAAGAATGAGTAATGGGGGGGGGATAACCACGAGTCATTGCGAACGAAAGTGCTATTGAGGGGCTTGTATCTAAGCATCTAGATTATGACTTAACATTTCTTTGTGGAAGCTTCATCACCGGTCATTCTATCGACACCACTAGGTGAGATTCGACTTTTCTGATGCCTTACACGGTTCTTGTATTGCCTGGAAGAGTTTGCGGAGAAAGTACTTTACTATTGACCTGCCTCTAGGATGTTGATCGGGAAAACACTCCGTCTGGACTATCAGAAAAGGAAGATCTGGGGAATCCCTGATCACAAACGATGACTATTTGATCGAATCACGAGCCGAGCTTCATCAACTAGAGTGCAATGTTAATAGCCGAGCTCGGGTAGCTTCCTGAAAAAGTGAGGCTAGGCGAGGTAACGTCTGAGTGGTACGTCGCTTACACTCTCAACATGAGACAACAACAATTCAGACGATGAGTATATGCACTATTCCCGACAAGAGATTGATCGTGTGTTCCATGCAACAACATATCGTGAACTGAACCGGAACCGGTCTCGATGATCGACCACGACCTTTCTGGGAACCCTCCATACCGGGACCTGCCGACCCAGCATATGCTGTCCATTGCTGCCGCACGTGAGCAAGGGGAGGACGTATACACAAACTCAGAACCATCATGGCATCCATTATGGGCGCGTGGTGTGTTTGGTGGCGCCTTGCTTGCCCAGTGACTTGCTGTAGCCCAGCAGAGCATCTCTCTCAGCTACTTGGTACATAGTATGCATTGCCACTTCCTACTGCCGGCTCATACTATAACACCCATTTTCTATCGAATCGAGCGGATCCGTGATGGCAAAACCATTGCAACCAGACTTGTTCAGGCATACCAGGCCGGAAAATGCATATTCACGACACTCATCAGTTTCCTCCACGAAGCCGGACGGAAAGAGAGAATGGAATTGGCACACCAAGCACCGATGCCTGAGTATCCAAGAGGGCAAGGGCCACCGTCGGCATCTGGGAAGGATGTTGATCAGACAATATTGACAAAAACCAATTGTGTAACAGTTCTGTTACCCCGCAAAATCCGGGGTCTGTCATCGATGTGTAAGTCAGAGATCTGAGTCTGTTGCTAGATCCACCTGTCCAAGTTCTCAATCACTTGTTCATGATTAATCACGATTCAACCATCTCAATTGATCAAGTCATTCATCAGGACTCGTTGTCCTCACAGCATGTCTCCTTACTGCCTTAGAGCGCCCTCGTTGGGTTTTGCCAGGCCACCTCAACGACGATGGCAGACTCTTGCCGACACCACATTACCCCAGCACCGTTCCATGGCTTCCTTTCAGATCAAGCAAAAGCCAGATGTCATCGTTATTGGTAGCGGTATTGCTGGGCTTTCCGCAAGTATCGCAGCAGCGGAAAAAGGCGCTTCGGTTCTTCTACTTGAACGCTCCCACGGCGAAGGTACTACCGCCCTCTCTGGTGGTATTGTCTACGCTAGTGGGGGGACACAGCAACAAAAAGAAGCCGGATACGATGATACCCCGGGAAGCATGTTTGCATACTTACGCCAGGAGATTGGAGACGTGGTGAAGGAGAAGATGCTGAAGCGATTCTGTGACGAGAGTCCCGGAGTGATCAAGTGGTTGGAGAAGCACGGTGCTCGCTTCAAGAGGGCTTTGAGTCCATACAAGACGAGCTATCCCAACACTCAGCATTACCTCTACTTTTCGGGTTCCGAAAAGGCATATCCGTACTCATCACTCGCGAAGCCTGCACCGCGAGGGCATCGAATGGTGTACGATGGATTCTCCGGAGCCGGAATCGCCAATGCCTTACTTGATGGGGCCAGACAACTTGGTGTTCAGATTGTACCAGCCAGCAAAGTTGAGAAGATTCTTTTGGCCAAAGATGGCTCCGTCCGAGGAGTCGAGTACCTCACACGAGCCAACTCATCCTCAAAGCTTGCCAAGCATGAGAAGCTGACCAGGCGGGCTCTCAACTACCAAATCACGTTGCCTCTCATCGCAGGATGGCTTCATAATCGTGCCAGTAAAACATTTGAGCACAACGCTCAATTTGCCACTACCAAAGCACCAACTATCATCCTTACAACCAAAGGTTTCTCCTACAGTCCTGAAATGCGAAAGAAACATCTTCCCGACTTCCAGGGCGTCACTCCCTTTGGAACACCAGCTGACGATGGCTCTGGTATCATGCTAGGAGTATCCGTTGGAGGCTCCACATCCTACATTGGCTGTATGTCGACGTGGAGGTCCCTATATCCCCCGAGCGCTCTCCTCGAGGGTGTTGTCGTGGCCAATTAAGGAGAGCGTGTTGGCGCCGAGCATGTGTACGGTGCCTTGTTGACAGAGAAGATGATGCGAAATCATCAGTCCCAGGGCTTTGCTATCTATGACTCGACACAGTGGGCTAAGGCGAAGAAGCAACTGCCCTCGCAAGTACCTCCTGTATTGAAGATGCAGAGGTACCATTGGCTATACTGGGACCACAAGAAGGCCAGGTCTCTTGAGAATCTCGCCAAGAAATTCGGAATTTCACCCCAGGGCTTGAGGCAGACTGTTGATGCCTACAGCGATGCCATCAAAAACGACAAACCTGACCCGGCAAACAAGATGCCCAACACACGGTCCCCCATCCTGAAACCGCTATTTTACGGTATTGATATATTTATCAAATTGACAAAAGGTCTTCAGCAAGTTGTTAGACTGTCGCTTGGTGGTCTTCGAGTCGAGGAGGAGTCAGGGTTGGTTCTTGATGAGGCTGGCAAGACAATCAAAGGTTTGTATGCCGCGGGGAGGAATGCTGTTGGTATTTGTTCAAGCACGTATGTGAGTGGCCTCTCCCTTGGTGATGGTGTATTCTCAGGGAGACGGGCTGGTGTTCACGCTGTTGGAAACGTGAAGACGACGTCATAATGGGTAGTAGAATGGATCGTGTGCCTGTCCAGCTATGAAATCCATAATAGGAATCTTTTGCCGCTCGCTAGAAGCTTGGCAGTGGCCCTGTGGGAGAGAAGGTTAACGTTAAGCCAAAAGATCTTGTTGATTCTCTAACTCCGCTGTGCGTTGCCTCAATCGCAATAAGGGGCTTACTCTAGCCGAAGTTTTACCAAAACATTTCCGAAACTTCACCGAAGTTTTGGCAGGCTTCTACCGTGTGTGACTGACCCTTGCCCAACACAGGTCTACCTTACCAGGCTCAGTGGTGACACTCCACCGTTTCTCCTGGTAAGCAAACACAGTACGTTGTGATTGTCCTTTATCATACCATGCATTTTGTTAGTCGAGCAGTATTTCTATGATGGAGATTTGCCCCTTTATATATTGTCGTTGTCCCCAGAAGCGTGCTGCAGCTCCATTCCTCAGGATAGGATCTCTTATCTTATCTCACATGGAAGATCCCTCCCTCGTCCCATGACACTCCATGGTTGAGGGACCAATCAACAACTCTCAGTGTCTTGGCAGCTCCTCGCGCCATCCTAGTTGTTGACCAACCCCGATACTCCGCGGCAAATGACCGACACTCCCCGATGCCTTCACCAGGCTAAATTGGTCAACGTCGTATGCTTTGAATGAGGGGTCAAGACGTGGGACAGATCAGATTAGTCAACCCGAAACATATAACATTCCAACCATCTTCCAACACCCTGTTTCTCCTGTGCTTTTGTCTTCTACACAAGCATTCGACTGAACTAAAGCTCCTATTTACAGACGTCGGGTCAAGGCCTCATAGAAGAGTCATTGCAGCAAATCCTTGGTTTTGACGTAGAAGTCCTTTGTTTACACGTCCTTATACTCGAAAAGACAAAATGGCTCCTATCAAAGTGGGAATCGTCGGGTACGGCTTCGCCGCAAAGAACTTCCATATTCCATTCATCTCAGCGAACCCAGATTATCAGATCGTTGCAATTCTTCAGAGAGCAGAGGCTCCGGCTGATCCCTCATCAGCAACGCCGGGATCCCACTGCACGGTTGACTTCCCAAACATCAGGCACCATCGCACGGCTGAGGATTTCTTTGCTGATTCCGAGATTGCATTTGTTGTCGTTGCAACTCACACAGACACCCATGCTTCCTTTGCAGAGAAGGCTTTGCAATCGGGAAAACACGGTACGTATTCCATGACAGAAGGTGCCCATTAACTAACCTGTTAATATTCCAGTCATTGTCGATAAGCCGTTTGCTCGTTCAGCTGAAGAGGCAGACCACGTCATCAAACTTGCAGACGAGAAGGGGTTGATCTTGACTTGCTTTCAAAACAGACGATGGGTAAGTTTGCCCAGCTTCGCCCTTGACGACAATTCAGCAGGCTGACGATAGTTTCAAGGATGGAGACTTCCAGACCCTGCGTAGCCTTTTGTCGAAGAACGCTCTGGGGAAGGTCATGGAGGCTGAAATCCATTATGACTTTGAATCGCCGCCTTGGCTGTCACACATGACCGAGAAGAAGTATACTCCGGGATCGGGGATGGCGTTTGGTCTAGGTTAGCGATGCACATCTCAACTTCATCACAAAGCATTTGGCTGACTATAGTTCAGGAACTCACAGCATTGATCAAGCCGTTGTGCTCTTTGGGCGCCCCAAGTCGGTGACTGGCTTTCTCCGTGCTCAGCGTGGAATCGACAGCGAGGTTGAAGATTCCTTTACCATCATTCTACAGTATGAGGGTGAACAGAAGGATCTATTGGTCACCGTGAAAACGAGCGTGACAACGCCACTAGCACAGCAACTGAAGCTTCTTGTGAGGGGAACAGAGGGGTCATACATCAAGGTCAGTCGTGCCAACAATTTTCGTGAGGCTGTTCAGTGCTGATTTTACAACCACAGTGGCAACAACGTAGCACATGTCCACAGGAAGAACAGATTCAGAAGGGCGTCAAGCCTCTAGACCCAAACTTTGGAAAGGAGCCTGAGGCGTTGCAAGGCACATTGACAACGTACAAGGTGTTTGATGAGCGCTACCAGAAGCTTGACCCTGAGACAAACAAGTACACTGGGAGGTATCCTACCATAACTGGTCGATGGATTGGCATCTATGAGAACGTGGCCAACGCTATCAACGGAAAGGAAGAGCTTGCCGTCAAGGCAACTCAATCTCGAGATGCCATCAGGGTTATTGAGCTGGCTCGAGAGTCCCATGAGAAGGGAGCCACAATCCCATGGAAATAAGCGAGTCAAAGTCATGCCCAAAAGAGTGGCTGCCTAGTTTGAAAAGCTGTCTGGCTCCGACTATGTTGGTAGCTTCTTGGTGTAACGACCTCAGATAGACACACACTAGGTACTCAATATAGTTTGCCATCTACTGATCTGCCATCTTGTAACGATTGATACCGTTATCACATATCTCTCACGACTCATCATCCAAAAATACCGTCGTTCTTTGGCTCAAACTGAACGTGCGGTCGGTCAAGGACTTCCTCAGGGATCTCAATAGGATTTTCGGCCCTGATCCCCTCCAAGATAGGAACTGTCATGCCGAGCTAAAAGTGTTAGCACATGAAGAAAGGTGAATGAACGATGCTGCATACCAGAAAGTTTCTCAGTTTGGCGGAGTGAAGCATGTTTGCGGCCTTGGAAGTGACCTGAAAACGAAGAACACTCCAACCAAGAGGGGGCAGATCGTGTACAGTGACGAGCGCTGGATTATGCAGATTGAGAGACGTGTGAGAGTTGCCTGCAGCAATAATTGCATCCTCCACAGATTCTTCCCGGAAAGGCTGTCCAGAACTGGAACCAAGAAGCCAGGCTGGGTCTCCATGCTTATACAGCCGAATAGTATCGTTGATCTGATTCTCTATAATGAGATCAACCACAGACCCAACTGGCATTCCACTAATGATAGGTTTGTCCAACTCCTCATCACGACCAAGTCTATGAAAGAGAAGAGGGGTCATGGATCCGTGGAATAGTTGCCAGGGTTTTTCGTTCAGGTTGAACTCGGGGACTTTCGGCTCCGTCAGTGAGGGCTGAGAACCAGCGGACAATCGGAACGTAAAATCAGCGCGTTCCGGGTGCTTCTTGTCCGAGGCTGGAGGAGGCTTTGAGGGGAAAGGAGGAACGAATTGTCCATCGGTTGTCTTGCAGTGGGGTTTCGTGGAAGTATCAGCAAGGAGGCAGACATCCTTGGGCGATGCGGGTGCGGGAAGCACCATTGGCTCCCCATATCTAGGTAAGCGCTTAGCCTTGATATTGATTGAGTCAGCCTTTCCCTCTTGAGTGCAGTATGGAGATGCACGAACCGGATATCTCAGAATCGAGTAACCCTGGAGGTTTTGCAACTGGCTTGTTGACGAAATTCAGATGGCATAGTCACCTGGCTCGGCATCGAGCTTCACCAAGATTGGAATCCGGGCAGCACTCGGGATGTAGACAACCTATTCAAGTGGTTAGTGTCCTGTCTCTACTAAGTATGTAGGACTGTTTGTACATCGGTTTGTTCAGGAACGACAAAGCCACCATTGTTCGCAACGAAAACCATCTGGTGGCCGTCAATGGAGACTTTGACTGAGTGTTCGAAGCCATTGTTCCTGAGGTTCATCATGACGTATCTCTGGCCGCCTGTCTCAAAGACCTGAGGGGGTTAATTTTCAACTCGCCAACCAAAGGCTGTTTAGCTCACCTCATAGTCGGCACTAGTCGGCGAACAATACTCATTAGGAAGGCCTGCGGGCTGTATGCACCCTTTGCCATCGAGGGCATTACCATTCAGGTGCGCAAAGTCGAGCTGACGGCAGTGTACACGACCCTTGCCTAGATCCCCAGAATATTGTCAGTTCATACATGGATATGGGTCTGAGGTGAGCGGTGCGTACCGTTGACCAGGATGGAGTCATAGCAGTAGTACTTGGACCCTTCAGCCTTCATGCGAAGTAGTTTCCATACGGTGTCACGGTGCTGATGATTCTGAATTGCAGTATGTTGTATCGCGCGCTCTGCTTCTTCGATCCGACGCAGTTCGAGGGTATCATTTGTGATCAGATGGTAGGGGCGCGGCCGTGTTGGGCTCGGTGCAACGTAGACAAGGCCGTAGAGTCCCTACAAATGTCACCAAAGGTACGCGAGAAGGGACCGTGGAATGACGGTGTTCCGGGCGTCACGCAGTATTCGATCCAACCTCGAGATAACTACACATACCGCTTTACTGTACAACAGCAGTACGGGAGTTACTTCTACCACGGTCACTTTAGTCCAGCCTTCGCTGATGCACAAAGGGGCCCAATATGGATCTCTCCCGCATCATGGAGACCACGACCGTACTCGCTTGTGTCATCTTCGCTGGAAGACATCAAGAGTATGGAGCGAGCCAACAGAAGGCCCGTCCGAAGCCATCACTGCTGAAGAGGGAGCGGACTGGATCTGGATCAGCTTCATTCACTCGGGAGCGCATCACGAGCTGCAGATAAGCGTTGACGAGCACGAGGTGCATGTGGTTGCAGCGGATGGGGAGTTCGTGTACCCGCAAAAAGTCCACGCTGCAAACTGCAACTTGGGAGAGCGTATTGGGTATGTTCATCATCTGCTCCTTTAGTCTAGCATCTGAACCACGGCGCTGTCATGACTAACTGGACCCGTAGTATTCTAGTTCACTTGAACAAGAAGCCTGGGGACTACGCCATTCGAGTCGCCTCATTGAGGACAGAACAGATCATCCAAGGCCTCGGTATTCTTCGATACCCATCGCCGCCAAAGGGGAATGCGGCCAATGTCCCTACCACCAAGCCATGGGTGCACCTCAACGGTTCGCTTATCTCACCCACCCTCACGGCCATGGATGAAACGAAGTTGGCCCCTTACCTTCACCGACCACCCCCCGCCAAGTCGGACAACACCGTCAAGTTCCTAGCCAACATGACGGGGTCTGGTGCTTGGGCTTTAGGTGTCGGCTCCCATCAGGCATTCCGCCAGCAACTACCTCCATTACTTTGGGATGAATCATCTCGCGGTGAGACAACCTAGGGCGAGAATCAGCTCCGAAATGGGTCCGTTGTTGACATAATTTACGAAAACGGAGCAAATGTCACGTCACAGCATCCATTCCACAAGCACAACAACAAGGCTTGGATCATCGGCACAGGCGAAGGTGGCTTTCCCTGGGAGACAGTTGCAGATGCAATGGAAGGAGGTGCCGTGAAGAACTTCAACTCTGACAATCCGCCAATCCGAGACGGCTGTAGGCTTGGAAACGGGACTGGTGACTGGACCGTCATTCGCTACGAGATTGCGTTCCCTGCCGTCAGCATGTTGCACTGCCACATGATTCATCACTTTGGAGTAGGTTTATTTCCAATGTTAATATCTGTTTATGAAACAAAGACTGACAGGAAGCAGGCGGGACAGCAGGTGGTGTTACTCGAGGGCGTAGAGTCAATGAACAAAGTCCCGAGCTATGTGAAGGACAGAGTTCATGCGGAACTTGTACCACCCTTTAGATATGGCCCGTTAGACTAAGGGTAAATAGTAACTAAAAAGGAGAAGAAGTAGTAGGAAAGAGTATCACTACTAGAACTGGTAGTAATAGGCATAAAAGCACGGGGGGGGTCACAGAATAAGCTTTTCTCTATCAAGTCATACTTTGACTCCACCGTCCACAAGATAACTATGAGGGCAAAATAACACTAATATAAGCCCAGTATTTACTCTTGCACTAGTGGCCCCTCTCCCTCAAGCTCCCTCTGTCAGGCCTCGAAATGTGGCTGGGCAGAGACTTCTTGAGTCACCATTTGTAGGCTGCCCGCCCGATGCTCATTTGGGCTTGCTTAAGTGTCAAACAATCAGGAACATCAAACAAAGCGAAAGGTGATGGGTTCTGGGTGAGAAGCCGATGGTGGACAGCTGTGTTGCCATCGTGGCACTCAACGTCCTACACGGCGACCAAGGAGGCAAAGTTGCCAAATCAGATATCAAAAGAGTTTGCGCGACGTAGTATCGAGGTCTATTCACGTGGGGCATGACTTTAGCTCTTTCAACGGCCTCTTGCGAGGCGAGAGCTCTGGCAAACCTGGCTATATAGGGTCCACAGTCATATGCCTGATGTGTTCTGGAGTCACAGTAGAATCCTTTCGCAGACTTACCCGGCGTTCTGAAGAACTGATGTGAGAAAGACTCACGCGTTAAGTTATTCCGAGATAGAAAGCAATGCGTTGGCTTACGCTGGCTGGGTGAGCGGCTGGGAGTATATAGAAGAGGATAAGACTTGACCCTTCATCAAACAAAAGCCGTCATCGTATAGGGGTTAGTACATCAGTTTGTGGTCTCTTGAAGCACTGAAAACGCAAGTTCGAGTCTTGCTGACGGCAGGATGTTCTCTTTTTGCTGTTTCTCGCCACGATAAGGTTCCTTCTTGCATGATTCTCGGGCTATGGCGCCGAGGGGGCCAATAGATCGAGCAGTTCAACAGGGGCACTGGCATATCTCAAATGTTTGATGATTCATTAAAGTCATGGCACGACACGTTGTCACTTTAGGATGAAGAAGGGTGAGTTCAGGGGGCTTGAGAGACGCATCATCCGCCACCATTTGGCACCACCAAATACCGACCACGATCGGGATACCAGCCTTGGGATGTCTTGAGACTGCTTCAACGACCTAATTTGAAAGACTACGACCGTTTTCTAGACCTTCCCCAATGCCTTCGCTATTATTGTCACCTTTTTTGTTATCGCCAAGAATGGTTAACACGATGCTGCATGGGTCTTTGCCCATTTCAAGAATAACTCGGGATAGACCACATCGGCCGGCTCTGACAGGGGAACTTTCGCACTCGCAAGATAAGAATCGGCTGCCCCGGTTCACTGCGGAGATGCCCACGGGAATGTTCATGATGGAAATTTACCAGGTCCTCCGGGAGAAAGTAAAATCCCCTGATACAGGCCGAGCTGCGAGTCTGAGCTGCTGACTAGCAGCCTTTGAACCTTGACGGGACCCTGGCCCTCTCGCTCCTCGATTTCGCCCCAGACACACTCTGTTTGGACTGCCCATACCGCACATTACCATACACGTCCCCAACCCATCACGGGTCAAAGACCAAGAACTTTTCAGCCCGACATAGCAGCGGCGGGGTCCTCGATCACTGGATCGTTCCTGAGGCATGCCTTGACCCTTGGTGATGAAGCTGTGTACACTCCTCCGCCCCCTTGAGCCACTCATGCTTGAGCGCCTCCTCGGCTGTTAATCGCTCCGTTCCGTTGTACTTCAGCAGCTTATAGATGAGATCTGCTAACTGTTTCTGCTCCGCCTCGGGTGTAAACAAACTGGACCAGGTGGCTCCTGGCTCGGGCTCCCACAGCTCGAGTTCCCGCGTGAGGAACATCTCCAGCGTGGCGCTCTGAAATCTAAGGCCGTGTCCGCTGTCATCAAAGAATTTCTTACGTGAGTCCCACTTGTCCCACAAGGAGTCGGGAAGCTTCCCAAATAGCATGACAATCTCTGCAATTATCTCGTCTGTGTTGGGGAGCATGTAGAATAGCTTGATCTGTTGTCGGATCTCGAACAAGGTGCAGCCAAGGGCCCAGAGATCAGTAGATGGGCCAGGAATAGGAGACTCTCCAAGAAGTGACTCAGGTGATTAGTAGCTGTCAGGGATACTGAGCGCCTTTGGGGGAGACGAGAAGTAGAAGGACTCGCCAAAGTCGATGAGTGTGATATTGTCGACGAAGTAGTCGCTGAGGCGACCCAAGTTGCATCGCTCGATGAGGCATGGCGGGCAGGAACTGGGAATTTCTCCACCGGACTCATGCCGGACTCGAAAGGTTATGGGCGGTCCGATGAGAGTGATGAGTTCGGTCTCGGGGAGGTGGTCGATGTTGGCAAGGTTCATCAGGATGTTTCCTGGGCGGAAGTCTAACAATGTAAGATGAAGAATAATTTACCAACCTAAATGTTATTGATCTTACCTCCGTGACAGATCTGGTTCTTGTGCAGAAAGTCCAGGGCTTTGGTTACCTGACGGGCCAGGCGCCGGAGAGTGATGTTGGGATTCGTCTTCATGTGGCGCCAGATGTCAGGCGACACACGCGGACCCAGGACTGGGAGAACAAGAGCCTGATGAGTTCCATTGGGCCCTTGGAAAGTGAAATGTTCGAGGGGAATTGCGATAAATTCGGCGCCAGGCAGGGAGCGGTCAAGCTGAGACAGGATCTCCAACTCTGGGATCGTGTCGGGATTGACTGTAGCCATCAGGATCTTGAGAGCAACATATCGAGAATGATGCGTATCGCGGCAAAGCCAGACTGTCGCATAGCCACCATAGCCGAGCTTGTGAAGGACACGATACTGCGCCGACTCGCCGAAGCAATCGCCAATCTTGACTGGGTGGAAGCCACCTTCATGGTATCCTTCGAGTGATTCGACATCGTCTTCTGGACCACCGAGATATACATCTTCTGCGGTTGCCGGAGGATGGTCGTCCCAGTTGATGGTAATGTAATGTCTGCAATTCTTGGTCTCGCCTCGGTCGGTGTCGCTCAGAATTGACTCCGGCGTAGAGCTCCGTGGCGAACGGGGGTCGCTTGTGACGGTCGACATGACCGAGATGCATGAAGAGAATGCACAAGAGAGATTTGAGAAGAAGAATAAAGAGGGGAAAGACTAAAGTAGGAGCGAAGAATGCGAAACGTTAGAAGATATGGCGGAGGCGCCACCGAATTGCGTTGATGTTTCTTGTGAGATGCGAAGCCGTGAGGACAAGCCGCACAGGACGCTGATGTGATCGTCACCGGTGTGTAGCCGCCTTTGGTTTAATGTCGTTTTCTTGACACTCACCGCCTTCTGATTTAAGCGAAAATGACGTGCGAGCGAGCCACAGGGCATCAGCCACAGGCACAAGCCAACTCGAGCAAGCCCCACTGCTGTGGGTACCTCGATTGAGCCACTGATCGACAGGTCCTTAGTTCCTGAAGCTCAGTGGGGACACAGGCCGCCCCAGATTTCAATCGCGACAGCCCTGGAGATCACGCAAAGCGCGAAAACATAACGATGGTATGAATAGTGAAAGCAGATAGACAAAGTCAAAGCGTAATTGAGCGCCGTCATATTTTCTGAGTGACTTAATGTATTTTTGAACAAACTTCCTCGCAGTCATCGCCCAAAACCTGGAAAAACGCGGATCGGGAGGATCAGAGCGGGTTGTTTTCAGTTGTTGCTGTTGTTCACAGGCTGAGTTTGACGTGCCGGCTCAGAGGATGGAACGCTTTTGTGAGCTGTATGACTCTTTGATCAGAACAAACGCTGGATGTCATCTTTGCTCTCTTCATTTTGCTTGCGAGTGGGCCAGAACGAGCCTGGCTTGTGGAACGTCATACCAAAACACAAACCATGATGATATAGGCGTTGGCACAGAGTAGAAACATTTTATGATCGGAATCCTAGTCCCGAAACTGCTGCATTCGTATTTTTGCTTCCTTGAACAAAGGGTTCCATCCCGCCACGCTCGGCTCTGTGAGTCACGTCCTCTCTCAAAGCCGAGTTTGCAAGTTTGGGCACTGATTAAGGCGGAGGTACTACAGCTATTAGCATATTCTCCGGCGCAAGCTTTGCTTCGTGAAAGGAGTACACAGCTTGGTTCACTCAGCATCAGTTTTCCAAACCCTACAAAGGCGAACAAATGTTCTGTTTGACCACATTCCATAATTGTGTCTGCCCCAGCAAGATGATTGCCAGCAGCGGGCCAAGAAGAGTCAGTATCAAGAAGAGTCCGCTTGAAAGGTGGTTTGATCCAAGTAGTTCTGGTATAAAGCATTTGGCCTCCAATTGTATAATCCGTCAAGTCCCATCACTTGCGTCGTTCATTTTCTCCTGCCAGAAGCACTTGGTATTGCAATGTCTGATTAGTTTGGGCGACAGCCCGTCAAGGTTGTTGGCGGTGCTGGGACCACCGAAGATCCTCATGTATGATAGTCCTCCGTTGCCTTCTCGTCATGGCAGCGGCATTGACAAGAGCAGGTTGTCTGACTGACCAATCCGCCTGCCGATTCGAGCCGAAGACTCGGAAACGAGAAGGTCGCTCGTTCTCTCGGCGATTATGGGTGTACCCACGTCTGGCTGCGGTAAGCTACTTTGAAAGATGCATGTGAGGATGTTGCTGACTCGCTGGCAACATACAGGAGCTGTGACCATAGAACCAAGACGACGCGAGACGAGAAGGGCACAGTCACCTCGGTTGATGACCTGCACCTCACTATTTACTGTCGACACGAGACGGGCGGTAATTGGCATGGTCACATTTATTGTGTCTGTGAGGAAAATGGTGATTGGCGTATCATGGAGGAGAGTGAGAAGGTTCATAACGAGGGGCCGATCATTCAATTTTTGGAAGTGGGAGGGCTGAGAAAGCAGTGAGGGGTTCAGTCTGTGGGGATATTAAACCTACGCCGTGAGATGTGAATTCGGTGATTGTAGAGTACCTAAAAGAAGTTTACCATTAAGGCCACAGCACCAAGCAATTTAACTTGCCTTATCCTATAACTTGACACGAACAAACACGAACAAGGGAATAGCACCATGAGCCCCAAGTGTAGAAAAATGATTTTGTATTCACTCAAATTAATACTATCCGTAAAGTATGTGCCACCGGAGTTGGCTCGAGATAAGTTGGGCGCTCAGTGTCCCGATCACAGCACAGCGACACGCCGATAACCTACAAATCTAGCTAGGCTCCGGTTCGACTGGCCCTACTTTCTCGGCCAACACCAGTCTCCGTGAGACCGGCATTGCGACATGGTAAGGAGGCTTCGCCATTCCCCTACTTATCAAAGCTACGGCATAAGAAATGTCCCATGAGTCTTGTAGGGATAGAGGTGACCCATAATAGCAACCAATCGGAGCTAAAACATGAGGGATGCATTAAGGGATAAAATGAATATCCGTGAGGGACTTAATGGGCGTGGAAATGGTGGTCATCACGGAAGTTCAAGAACAAACACCAAAAAGGAAGATAGTACAAATGAAGTGAGGAGGGCGTTTCTAAATATTTTTATTGAGTTGGGGTACTACTGCCTTGACAACCTGTCTCGACTATATTTTCTACCTCCAATACTTCCCCCACAAAGGAGTTTTGGTTCATGTTCTGTTGGTGATTGCGCTTCTGGGACTCCACACACCTCAAACTTGTCGCAGTCAAAGACCACTAGGCTGTGGTATCGTGCTGCGTCGTGCCAAAGCGCCCCCAATGGCAGGTGACCTAGTTCTACAAGTTTGAGAAAGTATAGGCCGTATTAGGGAAACTTTGTTTTCTCAAAGCCCTTTTTGGCGGCAATTGCGCGCCGAATTGGGTACCCAAGGGAAATCTTCTGGGAGCTGAAGGTCAAGCTCCGGGTTGGATCTAGCAACAGCTCGCTCATAGTTGAGGGCGTTTGGGGAATAGACAACGAGTAGCCTTGCGGTGCTGGGTGCATCCAGCGGCCGAGAATCGCCACTTGAAGTTTAGCACGCTTAATGGGCATGAAGCCAGAAACTGCGAGTGTAAGAGATCTTGAGAGGACCACTGATCCCGGCCGCATTGGTAGATTTGGCTAAACTCAAGACTAACTCCGAGGCCTTGGGCAACAGGCCGTCATGGCAGAGTCTGAAGGTCTGCGTTTAGCCACCGAGTGTAGGCGATGCTGCTGCTGGCGTATCGACATCGGATGGTCCGACGGGAATGGTTGTGTGCTATGCAAGCAGTGCGTGTTGGGGAAAGGGGAAAGGGGATCTTCGGGACATTCGATGGCCAGGACAGCTTCCTGTAAGCAGACCAACTTGCGGCCAGCAAAGCCCGATTTATTCCCATAGCATCGTTGTACCGCCAAAGAAGCGTCAGCTGATGACGCGGTCTCTCATGGCCGAGTCAATGATCCGGGCTGTTGAAGCGGCGCCTATCGCAGAGCTTGTGTATCACGAATCGTAACCAAGGAATCCCGAAAGAGAAGATGTGTTCGTATTTAGTGAAGATCTGAATCATATTTTGTCTTGAGCCTGGGGCTGTGATGACATCCGAGAAACCAAGATCAGCAATGTGGCTTAGAAGCAGGCTGCGTGGCTCTGTACCACCTAATTTTACTCCGATGTTGCTCTACCAAAAGCTCAAAAACGTTAGCCTACAAGCCTCTCGGCGAGACGGGACATTTGCTCAGGTCCAACTCAGACTAAGCCGTATCCATGAGGCTTCATGAAGATCTAGATAAGAGCTGAGACAGAGCAAGTGCCATCCTGGTCGCCGGATGTCATCCGAAAAGGCGCCTTGGCATCGGCCTTGGCCACACGTGGAGTAGATCTAAGTGCCTTCAGTGTCGATCATTGATTCTAGAACCAGCTTCGTCTCATTCGGTTACACGCTCGTGCTCGACCCTCCCACACAAGATGGGCTAACGCAGGAGAGCAAAAGCTGTGATCTGAGCTCACGAAGAATATGAAGCTACCAACAAAAGAACATTTGCTCTCTGGTAGATGTAGCTTAGGAGACTCATAGGCTTAGGGTCTATGGAAACGAAAGAAACACATTGCGGGTTCGATCCGCCTTTCCGAAGTAGCGGGCAGGGGACCGAATGCTTGACAATAACCTTGAAATTTAGCTCACGAGATGGCGTCTTTGAGATTTCGAGCATGCAGCCACCACGAATAACGAATCTCACTAGAGACTAGACACCACTCAACCTTAAGAATGGGTACTTTCAGCTTCAGACCTTGCATGTGGACGCGATGCTAAGCCGCTCCGACACGTCGCGCGACACGAAATCTGTAGAACCGTTTGAGAATGTTCCTGCATACTACATCTCCCCTTACGAAGGAGCGAATCGATTTCTAGGAGGTTAGAAACGTGTTCTAGTCTATTGGATATGCAGTGGCCATGATAAGCAAGGGGCATATAAGAAGTGGTTCCATCGTCCGCGTCATGGGCCAGCATTACGCGTCCCCACGCAAAATGAAACATGACGCTTAGGGCCTGTAACCATTCAACTGCCGGATAACGATCTACCGGCTGCTATCTTGTAGTCTGAGAGAATGGTCTGTTTTAGTAGGTATCCGCTCCATGTTTCGGGTATTTTTAGCATGTAATCATTGCAAACAATGAAGCTATACACAAGACATCAGGGCTGTGGCACTCCAGCTCCCATATATAGAGCCAAGCCGAGAACATCTTGGCGCTAGAAGTCCCTTTATCCTATCAAACATCCCAGTACATCCCTATAGTCTACTGAAACATTTTCACAAGTCAACTGCCATGTCTGATACGGACACAAGGAGTTCGTCCACTCAGCCGGCGACCTCGATCGAGTCTGAGCCACCTTACCACATCCTATCCAGACGCAAGAAATGGGGGCTCGTCATTTTGGCCTCCTTGGCGGGCTGCTTCTCACCTCTTTCATCAAACATCTACTTCCCAGCCATTGACAGCATATCGTCGAGTCTTGGCGTGAGCCTGTCCCTTGTCGCCCTCACGATCACTGTATACATGGTCGTCCAGGGCATCGCGCCTTCACTCTTCGGCGCCTTCTCGGACACGTATGGTCGACGCCTCACCTTCGCCATCAGCCTGACCATATATACAGCTGCAAACTTGGCCCTCGCTTTCACGTCGAGCTTCCCAATGCTCTTGGTCCTGCGAGGCGTCCAAGCAGCAGGATCTGCAGCGACCATCAGTATTAGTGCCGGCGTCATTGCGGATATTGCCGATCCGCGAGAGCGTGGAGGATTCATGGGGACCAACGCTGGTATTCGGTGAGTAGGGCATTTGTATTGCGCTTGCATAGGTGGCTAACCTTCTGTAGAATGACTGGTCAAGCAATCGGGCCTGTCATTGGAGGTCTTCTCAATAGCGCATGGGGATTTAGAAGCATCTTCTGGCTGTTGTTTGTCTTTGGAATGCTTGTCCTCATGGCATTGTTGATCTTCCTACCAGAGACGCAACGCAAGGTCGCGGGCAATGGTAGTGTTCCCCTCTCAGGTTTCCACAAGCCATTGATCTACGTGATCAATCCTCCCAAAGCCTGGGGAGAAACCGCCGAAAAGCCGCTACCGAAACGTCGAGAATCAATCTCTTTCAAGAAAGCGTTTAGCCCACTGGCCTACATCCTCGAGAAGGACATAGCTATACTCTTGGCCTGGGGCGCTGTGGCCTACACAGCATGGAGCATGGTCACATCATCGACTACGACGGCTTTGCTGAAAGGATATCCATACCTCAATGAGTGGCAGATCGGCCTCTGCTTTTTGCCCAATGGCTTTGGGTGCGTGGCCGGTTCACTCTGCACCGGTTGGATGTTGGACAAGAGCTTCAAGAGCGCCGAGGCACGATATCGAGCTGAGCAGGGCATCTACACCGAGCAAGACGTGTCAAAGAAGCACGGATTCCCTCTTGTACGCGCGCGTCTACGTCTGATGCCTTACTTTAGCCTCGCTCTCCTGTTCTCCCTGGCCCTATATGGACCCAGCTTTGAGTTCAACGACTTGCGACGCCAGTTCAGCGGCAACCTAGCAGCGCCGCTTGGTTTACAGTTTCTCATTGCCTTTACCGCCACTGCCATCTTTAACATCAACTCCACACTGCTCGTCGACTGCTTCCCGGACCGACCAGCCAGTGCGACAGCACTCAACAACTTGTGTCGCTGCCTCCTCGGTGCTGCTGGAGTCAGCGTCATCCAGCCGATGATTGATGCTGTCAAGATAATGAAAGCCTTCTTTATCGTTACGGGAATAGTTATTGTGTGTACTCCTCTGGTCTGGGTGGAATGGAAATGGGGCGAAAAATGGAGGCGAGAACGTGAAGACAAGCTCAGCTTGCAAGAAGAACAAAGATGATGTTTTGAATTGTCGGAGCAACATCCTAATGTTTCCGCCCGCAATTTCCAACCTCATTTTTCTTTTGCCTTTGGCATAGTGGTCGGGTTGTCCCACACGCTGTCAAGTGCGAGTGCGTTGCCTGTTATGTATGTTGAAGGCAACGCCTGAACAAGGCACTCAACGTGGCGAGCAGCGCATCAAATCTCATCAAGTACTCTTAGGCCATGATAAAACGACCTCTCCCCTGCCGAGGAGCAGTAGATGGGCAATAAGAATTGACTACGGCCTTGTAAAGCTTGCTTTTCATCAAGAAAAATCCTATCCATTGTGGCCCCACCGCGGCTTTGACACGGGGTGGTGATGTGACCAGGCACGCCAATGCCACATGTGGTCGTCGCCAAGACTACACAAACGAGATCGAGTCGCCAGAAGACAACATGTCTCACAATCCTTCATCTACGGCGAGTCCCAGTTCCCAGGCTCTTCTAGTCCCCCGTAAGCGGCATCACTCTGTATCTGACAACGAGACAGTCATGTGTCTCAGCAACGACCTCGTCCGCCACTGAGGGAGCATCACCTAAGCAGCTGGAAGCCACAGCCAAGACCAAGACGCGTCAATCACCTTTCAGAAATTTCGCATCCACGCCACGTCTGCTTTGCCGCCACAGTTGTGGATTCATGGTGCGAGGGCGGGGCAAAGAGGCTGGGACAGTTAAACTGGCCGTCAGCGCCGCCCAACATGTCATGTCGCACGACTGTTCTCACACATCCACACTTCGGGTTATTCACGACATCATGGTGACACGCCAACCTCAACATGAGACAAAGCAAAATCAGAAGACGGAAAGCGACCCCAGGCAATCTCTTGGTGCGCTACCATCAGCATCCCCATCTCCTTATGAGCCGCTCAGTCAGCATATGGACTGCACACGGCTAGTAAGGATCGAAGCAGCAAAGACGGACGATGATCCCATCATCTGTAGTTTGTTCCAAGTCGAGTTCCGTGAGAAGCCCAAGTTCTATGCTCTCTCATACATGTGGGGAGATGGCCCAGCCCGATGCAATATTATCCTAAACGGTGTGGTCTTCAGCGTTAGGCAGAATCTCGGGGATGCCTTGCGGTATTTGCGAACACAGGATTCCGACACCTCTTATTGGATCGACGCGATATGTATCAACCAAGACGACGTCCCGGAGCGAAATAGACAGGTGCGCATGATGCACCACATCTATTTTAGGGCCGAGACTGTCGTCGTGTGGCTGGGGAAGAGATATACGGAATACGAGCCGAGCCTACCAGACTTGCAGGGACTTGGCCATTTCAAACCACCCAACCGACAACAGTCAGAAGATGGGCCTCAGAGCGACCTTTCCGCGGCGCAGGAGCCAAATCAGCGCAAGCTGGCAGAAGACTTGTACAGCAACGGCTACTGGAATAGATTGTGGATCATCCAGGAGATTGGGCGTGCCCATAACATCAAGGTGTGCTTCGGAAACTATGCGGTAGAATGGGAACCATTTATTCATTTCATCACCATGCACAACATTGGAAGCCACGGCCCTGTGAGACTGAATCGACAGCGACAGGGGAGATATACAGGTTCAAGCTCCTTGCTCCAACTGCTGCAAGATCACAGAGAAGCTTTGTGCCAAGATAGCAAAGACAAAGTGTACGGCTTGATTGGCTTGGCATCGGACGCTGGCGGCTTTGTTATCGATTATCGAAAGACAACCTTTGAGATCTGGACCGACGTTATGGAGTTTATGAACCGACGCGGTTTATTTGCAGACAAGGACATTGTCTACGTTGGGGGTCTTGTTAAATCTCTGCTCATGGGTACCAACTGTCTTCCCCTCCAGCAAATTCTGGGACAGCAAGCACCTGGCAAAGGAGACAGCATGATTCTCACAGACCCGAAGCATTTCAAAGCATTTGAGTTGCAGGCAGCGGTGCTAGGATGCGTCACTTGTGTGGGCCCTCGTCCGCATGAAATCGTTGGAAATCTCAACGAGGTGGACAAGTGGACAGAACAGGTCCAGTCGAACTATAAAAACGATCTCGGACCTGCCCATCAGGAGAACGATATGCTAGTTCGGACTATTTTGGACCTGGATGATAGCACCTTGTCAAAGAAATGCTTTGATTGCAGAAGTGTTATACAGTGGTCGGTAAGTGATGACGACTACAGAACCCACAACGAAGCCCTGAGCAACAATTCGCCTTGGATAATGGAATTGCAAAGCAGGTCTAGTGGCCAACCGGAAAACGAGAACACATTTGCAGAGCAGTCCTCCTCTGAAGACTCGCGTCTCTTTCAGATGTCAGATCTATATCAAGGACAGACGCCGTGGAAAATGGGCCTATCGTCGAGCGACATCCGCCCTGGAGATTTCATTTGCTGGCTTGGGTGGCCGCGAAGAGCCGTGGTCGTGCGTCCTGAGAAACAATGCGACAAACCTTATCTCTGGAAGCTTCAGGTAGTGGGCACGGCTGTCGTCACTGAGGATTTGAGACAACCACGTTTGAGTTGTTCACAACGCGTCGAATGGTGTGAAAACAAGCAGAGGCAGACTATTTATTTGGATGCAACTACTATTTTTATTCTTCTAGCATAATACACGATCTTCTAGCCTAGTTATCCCGGGCTTTAACTATAACAAGGAACACATTAACGATCTTCGGGCTCAGTTAACCCATCAAGGGCCGGGCTGCAACTATAATAAAGAACAGATCGGAACACATTAACACATCATAGTATCATATCCCAATCCTAGCCTCTCATAGGTGTTTTAACTACTCTAACCTCCGTACGAGAAATGGGAGTACCACAAGGCTATTGAAAGAGCGATTTTAGAGGCTTAAAAGAGCTTTAGAAGTAATAGAGAGGTGAGAGTAGATGTCTAATAATGATGATACGTATCACCATCTATCTTGATAATAATGCCTGGATCCCGTTGGCAAATAACATCTTGGCGTAGATGTAGTGAAAGCGCTCGATATACTCAGCCGGGGATGGTTGGTTCTTCTGTGGATTGCAGCGGAGATGTTGCAGCTCTATCTGGATCTGAGCTTCTTCTTTTTCCGCGACGGGCAAGCGGGTGATCTGGAAACGGTGGCAGCCGCCAAAGATGAACTCGTCCGAACCAAAGCCGTAGTCGACGTAGCTGGGCTCTTCCACAGAGGGGACAACGGCGATGTGCTTGGTAAGCAAGCGGAACGAGCCAAAAAGACAGCTGCCGACAGGAAGCAGATGAGTGTTGGGCACGTCAGCCTTATTCCAGACGGTGGCTGCGTCCGGGGGGGTTTCAAAACCTGCAGAGGGTGAACATTGTAGTCCGGTCTAAATTGACTATAACATACCTGTGTATCTAGCTGGGAGAAGCCTGTAGCCCCCAATACGCAAGATAAAGCGCTCAAAGCCAAAGACAAACCCGCCGAAGAAGCCGCTAGTAAAGAGTGAAAGCACTCTTTCATCGCTTAGTCCTGCGACCACTGACGCTGAAAAGGTCTGGGTGACAGCATCGGTGTTGAGGATATGGCCACGGGGATTGACTAACTTGGCAGACGACGAAGCGAGAAACTCGGGCCGGATCGGCAACAAATAGCTAGATTCGCGTAGCGACTGGACAAAGACAGCTCGTGGGAGCAAGGGAGACGTCATTCTGAAATATGGATGAAGGAGAAGAGACAGAATAGAGGTGAAAACTGAAAGAGAATAAGGGATGAGCTGGGGGTTTTAGGAAGGGCCGGCGAGCTCGGCCCGGTTATTCCCGCATGACATTCGCTTCTAAGTTGGCAATTATTACCTCCGCTATAGTGGAAAGCGATGCAAGGGAAGAGGCTAAATGCTTACATGGACAAACTGATTGGCCTTTCAGTCAAAGAATTGCAATAGAGAGATTCAAAGGACGTTTTTCGAGAATCCACATTTCAATCAATGCGCTTATTATACTATGACTTAATAGATTAAAAGGTGGAGTACTTGCGAAGTGGGCTGTCTTTTTCTTAGACCACCAGCTGCCACCGTTGTGTCAAGAGATGTTAAAATAGCCAAGTTATAGTGTTTTACGGTACTAGATTTAATGCTGTTATGTATGTCTCTCGCTGTTAGTGCTGGCAGCTTCTTGTCATCATTGCAGGATATCTTCTTTATTATGGTTGCAGCCCGGCCCTTGATGGGCTAACTGAGCCCGAAGATCGTCATCATTGCAGACAACAAAGTGTTGAGCTATAAGGTGCTCTAATCTACGGTTTTTCATGCGTCAAGGTGTGCTGACCATGTAGTGTCTTATTTAAAAGATTCCTAGTAACATGGTACTACAAATATAGCTTAAACCCTTGAAATGACTTCGATAGGTCCCTTATTCCCCTCATGGGCTACTCTTAAGCTCTTGTTGCTTCTTCTTCTGCCTTTCCTCGCGGCTAGAAAACCAGACAACCATAACAGTCCAAGTCACGTAGGTAACTTGCAAAACTGCTTCCATTACGTATCCCTTGAAGAATCTGGGGGCCTCTACAGTTGGGAACGATAGGATACTAACCCACGCTCCAAAAGCAGTGGAAATTGCAAGCATAGAGCTAATGACAAAGGCACGCTCTTCAGCGTCTGCTGCGCAGACGATGTTGGCTAAGCTGTAATTGATCGGCGAGAGCGACACCTCGATGTAATTGACGACAATAGCAAACCTTGGAAGAGCAAGATTAGTAACATGCATTTTCGAAATAAAGAGTTTTCGGACTGCTCACCATTTATATCCGAAGCTTGTCTGATCAAACAGGAGCCAGGCGAATTTAGAGATGAAGTGAATGCCACAGGCAAAGGCAATAGTTGGAATGATAGCCTTGCGGCCGAATTTATCCACAACCCAAGCGAACGACATGATCCAAATTATGCCGAGACTGGGAGAGATTGCCTATGAGGTGGTTAGCATCATGAAACAAGGAGAACAAAGTCTCAGTACAGGTCGAGAAATAAACTCACAGTAAAGTTGTTCACTTGCGCCGTGGTATACTGTGTCTGCGCCCTCAACCACAGAGCGCCGGAACTCATGCCCAAGAAACCAAGAGTCCACTGGACGTTCCATGGAACCAAGACCCAGAAGTGCCACCGACCGAGGAACCGCTTGAGAGACTCCTTGGAAAGGCTCAATCCTTTTGGGTCCAGACGGCCTTGCAAGGCCATGCGTTCCTTGGCCAAGCCAAACTCGTGTTCAGTCATGAACCAGCGCTTGCCATCCCTGGGAGTACCGGGGAGAGAGGTCAGTCCCCAAATGGCGACTGGAAAGGTTAGGAAAGAGGCGACGAGATACATCCATCGCCATCCAGCGTGGCCAAGGTGCCCGTCGAGGTTGGTGTAGATGCGAGCGGCGAGGAGACCAGTGGTCATGGTGCCCACGCCAGAGGACACATAGAAAATACCAGCTCGGCGAATGATTTCATCAGTGCGGTACCAACTACCCAGGATATAGTGAATTGAACAGAAGTAGGGACCTTGATTCAACATTAGCGTGGTGCTTTGGGTGTAGAGAAACGGCGTGTTGACGAGTTCATCCTCGGCAGCCAACGTTCGTATGGTAGGCCAAACTCACCCTGTGACAAGGCCATCAAAAAGCGGTAGGCAATCAGCTCTCGGAAACTCTTAGCCTGGAAGCAGCAGATACTCCAGATACCCCACATGAACATGCAAGCGGGAATAACCAGCTGTGCTTTGTATTTCGTGATGAGGAGTGTGGCAGGTATCATGGAGCTTTTGGAGGTCAGCCATCCATTATTTTCACGGACAAACGTACTTACATGCAGTATCCAGCGCTGTATACGGCATTAAGCTGAATGTATTGGTTTCCAAAAAGCTCGAGCTCTTCTCTCATACCGCTAACGTAGGCGTTGGCAAGAACACCGCGGTCAATGTACAGAACCTGTGTGCTTGTTAGAGCCAATATTGGCCTCGTGACATGGACTTGGGCTGAACATACCCAAAAACCGACAAAGGCATATGTCAAGATGAAAAAGTCGAGCTTCTGTACTAGACGGCGCTCCGCCGGGCTGTCATTGGGGTCGAACCACGAGAAAAAGGACTTGTTGGATGACAGATCCCTGTTGGCGCCATATTGATATCTCTCAGGCGAGGAGTCCTGATCAGACGGGCTACCGGACTCGGGAAGATCCTCGGTGACGATGACCTGCTTTTTCGTCGCCATCATTTCAATGATAATCAGAATGAGAAGAGGCAGTTCAGAGGGCCGAGAGGTAGGAGATGATGGCTTTCCTTGGCCTCTACACATCAGACTCACGAGGAATGTTTATATACTATTTAGAGACCAAGTGCGTTTAATAGCGACCACCGTCTCCTCTGCTATTCTCAGTCCGACGCCTGTGCCCTTGCCTCCTGGTTCTCCCCATGGGCGGTGTAATGCGCCGGGTATGTCAGACTAAGCTCCGTTGGATCGTGTCAGTGGTCGCTTATTCGTCTTGGCGAAAACATGCAACTCACTGGGGGATATGGCGTCAGTTTTTGCCGAGCCACCAAGCGCAGATAGCGTCTACGTCTTTCACCAGAGAGGGTGAGCTAAGGAACCAGGAGGTTGGATCGCTAAGGAAAACTAGAAAAGGGCGATCGCGACTGGGTAAGGACCACAGCGCCATTCCATCACATCAGGCAACGGGGAAGACTAACTGTGGAGAAGTTCGGTCAGATTGTGTCCATCTAATATCCGGTTAAGCTGCAATCTATACTCGTATTTTTCCTGACTGCGTACCCTGGATATAACTTCTTTGATTTCGTTGTAGAATAGCCATGGCTCACGTATTACCTGCCAACTAACTCTCCCCCTACCAATTCCATGTTGAGATAGTCCAGACGTACCTCGGTCACGTATCTTGATGCAAGTAGCACAAACATTTCCGCTATCATGTCTTTGAACCATCTGTTGGCCTGAATTGTTGAACGGCAACGCCCTAAAGCTGGCCAGAGGTCCCACTACATTTTCTGTGCGTGATTAAACGGTCATGTTAGGTGATGCCATCCTTTGTGAAGAGCAAGACTCTTTCAGTCACGGGCTTCAATACCTGATTTGGCTAACCCAAGCGCTCTGTAACGTTATGATACCAACCAATTATCCATGGGTAGTTAGCTAGCTCACTAGTTGTAGTCAGCAACAACCCCGCGGAGAATCTTCGAAGCGAGCATTCCCATACCCACAGCCATGCTCCTTATCTTGTGCGTGTCTTCAGGGATCATGGGATCATCACTTGGCGTCGCGAACATGCACCCGAACCTGCCCCTCATAGCGATATCGGTTCTGACAAATTGCATGACGGGAGATTTGTCCAGATCACGACATCGGCTCTGATCTCGAGAATGCTCCCTACTAGACGCAGTCCTTAAGTTACCGGGTCTAATATGGATCACCTGTGCCATTGTTGGATACATGAAGATATTCACTTCAGTGGCAACCATGGGCTTAATCGTAAACGGCTTTCCGATTCTCAACAACTCGGTTGAGACTGGTGAGAGAAAACGCGCCGACTCACGATACTATCCAAAAGACGAGCCATGGAATCCGCATAGACCCGTCAAGGTTTGTTGTTCTTCCCTCCACAAGCAAATGCAAACACAATCCATGACTGACCTCTTTACAAGATCATCATCGTTGGCGCCGGTATTGGTGGGGTGGCGCAGGCTGTCCTCCTCTCCCATAAAGTGCCCAACGCGAACATCGTGGTGTATGATCGTCTGGAAAAGATTGTTTGTGAGCCCGAGGTATCTGCCACTTACTGATGCTGACTGGGAACTATAGGGGGGAACCTGGGCTGCGAATGTGTATCCAGGAGTTCGCTGTGATGTGCCATCTCATGCGTATCGTAAGTAGACTCTCTTCTCACACAATATTGACCTGGGCTGATGTGACTTGCAGAACTTACACTCGAGCCAAACACGCAATGGTCCGAGTATTATCCAAAAGGCAGTGAAATTCAGCAGTACTACGAAGGCGTCGTTAGGAACCACGGACTCGAGGAGAACTTCAAACTCCAGCATGAAGTTGTGCGAGCGACGTGGCTTACAAGTGCTTCCCAGTGGGCAGTCGAGGTTCGCAACCTCCGAACTGGCGACGTTTCGGTGGAAACAGCCGAGTTCCTGGTGAACTGCCAGGGCCGTATCAGCAAGCCCAAGGTTCCTAACATTCCGCATCTCGAAGCTTACAAGGGCCCTTTGATCCACACTGCCCGCTGGCCTGCTGACATAGACTTGACTGACAAGACGGTTGCTGTTGTCGGTGCAGGTGCGTCAGCTGCTCAGCTCATCCCAAACATTGCCCCCAAGGTCAAAAAGATTGTCAACTTTGTCCGGAGCAAGACGTGGGTGTCGCCTACTTTTATCAAAGGTATTCACGAAGCGACGGGTGACGCGCCAGGCGGCCCTATCTATTCCCCTGAACAGCGGACGACGTTCCAAGAGGACCCAGCTGCATATGTCGAACACCGCAGAGAGTTCGAGATGAGGTTCCAGACGCGCACCATCAAGGGCGCTGACAAGCTGGGGAGCAAGGAGAATGCAGACCTCCGAGACAGCATCATCGAAACCATGCGGGAGCGTCTTGGCGGCGATGAGGAATGGCTTCAACGTCTACTGCCGGATTATGCGCCTGGCTGTAAGCGACTCACGCCAGCCCCGGGGTATCTCGAAACACTTCAAAGTCCGAAAGTGGACTACATCACTGAAAGGATCACACAGCTCACGCCGACAGGCGTTCAGACAGCTGACGGAGCTCACCATGAGGTTGATGTTGTCATCTTGGCGACAGGCTTTGAGCCGAGCTTTACGACACTGTTTCCTGTCATTGGAAAGGCTGGAATCGACCTCCGAGAGAAGTGGTCCCCTGATGGTGAGATCGGCTACCCTGAGACTTACCTTGGTATCATGGCTCCTGGGTTTCCGAACTATTTCTTTGTGCTACAAGCCCAAGGAAACGCACGTGGAGGCTCCGTGCCTCTACACATCGAGACCTCGGCTGTGTTCATCGCCAAGGCGGTTCGAAAGATCCAGTCACAGTCTTACGCGGCACTGGATGCGAAAGAGGAGGCGGCCCAGGAGTTCAATGACGTGGTTGGGGGGTTCTTCGAGAACTCTGTGACAGGTGACTCATGCAAGAGTTGGTTCAAAAGTGAGACTGGGCCATCGAGGCTTCTCATCGCTTGGCCTGGGTCGTATCACCATCGCGCTGGCATACTACGAGATCCTCGATGGGAGGACTTTACGTTTGAAGCCAGACCGGGGGCGACTAGGAACAGGTTCGAGTATTTTGGCGACGGGACGGTGGAGAAAGAATCAGGGCCAGATAGAGATCCGCTGAGGTTGACCAGCTATCTCAGTGAGGTTGGGAAGATCGATCTCGCCACATTTCAGGAATCATGGACGTTAGACCTATGAGGAGAGGGAATCATCCATCTACATATTCACATTTAAATTCATAGAAAGGATAGAACTATAAAAGTATTGAAGTGACCAGATCAAGATTGAAATGGCAGTATGTGTGTAGGCCTTGGCATGTAGAATACGGTGTATTATCCAGTTCAGATTTTTCAGCCTTGACATCCATGCCTTCTTTTTTTCTCGACTGCCCAGCCAACCCACACCAAGCCAAGAGCATCGGAAAAAGGTAACCGACAAAACCGCGATGCTCTTAACAGACCCGGCTTGGCTTCTGGCTCGTTGACGCCTCCGCGCAACTGCCAAGGAGACTCAGCAGGCTAAGCTTAAAAAATAGTAGCTAGTCGACCTAATCTACTACTGTTGGACCTTGAAAGGGGGCCAAGACCTGACATTTCCGAACAAAGCCCGTTTAGGTCCGTTAAATCCATGATGACGTGACGCGAAATGTGATAACTCGCCCAAGACATCCAGTAACATTGCCAGCTTTTCTTTAGTCAAAAGGGTGTAAAGACGTGTCCCAGTACACTTAGCTCTCGCGTGTCATGGATAGATAAGAGCGGGGTTGCTAAAGCAGCAGGGGATGGAGGTTGAGCATATGCCATCACAGGCTGGATCACGACATCATCACTAGATGGTGCGGCAGATGTTTCCGGGTATAAGTCGAGCGATATCGGACTTTTTCGGTCGTTTTACTCGTATCCAAATGCTTAAACGTGATAAAAGCATCCCTTCCACGTATAGAGAGGCCTTGAGGAAACAAAGAGGTTCTGAAGCACCGTCACATCCTTTACTCACCTTTTTTGCTATTCACTATGACCAGCAAGCTCCCTCATAACTTCATTCAAGGAGGGCCAGCGGAGCCTCTCTCGAAGGACCTGTTAGAGGGTAAAGTGCAACTGGAGCGAAAGTATGGGTATACGTTCGAAGGAAAGCAGAAGCGTGTCTTGCTCAACGCTTTCGATATGAATGGCGTCGGACACATTAGGTTCATCTCCCATCCTTAACTCCATCTGGGGTCATGTTACTCACCATTCTGCCGAGTGTAGTATTGGACAATGGCAGAATCCCGAGGATAAAAGCTCTCAAAAGAACCGTCTCCCATACTGGATTGAGTTAGCCAAGCTGTTGGAAAGGGGAAAGTTCAACGCTCTCTTTCTCGGTAAGTGTGAACGCTCCGTAAGACCACAAGACGTCCTCCTCTAGCCCAGCCTTCAGTTATACATAAACCCTGGAAACATTATCTAGATTTACAGAGCTGACAATACCCCAGCCGACAACTACGGCTCGCACGACATTTACAAGGGAAGCCATGCCCCAGCTATCAGGGCGGCATCACAATGGCCGCTATACGATCCATTCAGTGTAATATACCGGTCAATCTGGGCCAGTATTAGTGGCTGACACTCTCCAGGTCATCTCTGCCATGGCTGCAGTGACAAATACCTTGGCCTTTGGAGTAACCGCTTCTACTACATTCGAGCCCCCTTTCAGCTTGGCGAAAAGATTTTCGACACTGGACCACTTGACCAATGGAAGGATTGCTTGGGTATGCCGATATTAATTGATTATAAAATACTTTATGCACGTGCTAACATTCTCGCCCCAGAACATTGTCACCTCATGGAGTGACACTGCGGCTCGAGCACATGGTCTAGATCAATTACCTGAGCACGACACTCGGTATGAGATGGCTGAGGAATATCTCAGTTTGGTCTACAAGTACGTTCTTCTCCTCCTTGAAGTGGTCCATTCTGACAGTTCAGACTCTGGGAGGGCTCTTGGGCGGACGGCGCTGTGGTCAAGGATCCATCCACGCACACCTACACTGACCCAACCAAAGTACGCAAGATCGAGCATCAAGGCAAATTCTACAAGTCTTCAAGTGCGCACCAGGTAGACCCTAGCCCTCAGCGCACACCTGTGCTTTTCCAGGCCGGTATGTCACCTGCTGGCTCTTCCTTCGCCGCGAAGCACGCCGAATGTATCTTTTGTGGTGGCGCAAGTCCGGCCTTGGTTGCCAAGAATATCGAACAAACCCGTGAAAAGGCTCGAGAAAACAACCGAGACCCATACGATCTGAAGTTCTTTGTGCAGTTTACCCCTATTCTGGGTGCCACCGACCAAGAGGCGCAGGAGAAGTACGAACGGTACCGCCAGTATGCTCTAGGCGAAGGTGGCCTCGCTCTACTTGGTAGCACCTCGGGCATCGATGTCTCCAAGTTCCCCTGGGATGAAGAGTTCCCTACCGACCCCGAGCATCCACTCATGAAAGAGTTGACAGCGAAGCAACGCAATAGACTGCTGGCGCGTCCAGCTGGCTTTGACCGCTGGACCCCTCGCATCCTGGCAGAATATCAATCCCTGGGCGGCAGTGGCCCCTACAAGATCGGGAGTGGTGCCACCGTTGCGGATGAGATGGAGCGATGGATCACCGAGGCCGATGTTGATGGCTTCAACATCGGTCATATCGTCGTACCTGGTGCATGGGAGGATGTCATCGAGTATCTGGTTCCGGAGTTAGAAAAGCGTGGGTGGCTTAGTAAGGACTACCCCGTCCCTCAAGGTACAGCAAGGGAGAACTTGTATGGGAGTCCAGGAGACTCGCATGTGCGTAAGACGCACCCCGGGTATCAGTATAAGTTCAAAGGAGATGTCTAGATGCTTAACAGTAGCAAGAGAGTTATATCGTATACAAGACAGACTTGTTGTGTTTACTACACTTGAACGTCTTCATCAAAAATCATTTGTCTTATTGATATCTGAAAATCTGGTCAAGGCCGCAGGTATCAACATCTGCCCTCTGCTAATCAAAATTTTGTCTCTCTGTTTTGCTTGGACCTGGCAATGACTTTAACCTTTATAGTTCTCTCCGAGCCGACTGCATCGCCTAGTATAGCGATCTTACAGGCGTAGATAATGCAGTATGGTCCAATGATCTAAGCCTCTGGCACCTGATTGTGACCCCTTATCGAGAGAGGATGCACAATTCTGAGTAAGAAACGGGATCTTTAGAATGAAGTGGTCCTGCAATCCCCGTGGGATCGGCTCCAATACGACTTTGAGAGCTCTTTCATGTTATCGAAGATGTGTTGCAAAATGGGACCAAGTGCATCCGGAGCGCCAAGGGGGAGGCACAACTGCAATTTGGACTTGGCCGACAAGTGGTGACTCATCCGGGCCTTGCCCATGTTTGGCTGTACATATTTCAATACGGCCCGGCTGAAAGATTGGAGATCGACCTTGCCTTTCGTTGTATTGAACCACCCAAGGCCTCGACGTTCCTCAACAGCTATATCCCCTCTTCGCTTGGAAACCCACATGTTTTGGGCAGGGTACATGCCAGCTTTGCATGAGGTTCGCGAGCTATTGACTGGCTTCAATGGGTGTGGAAGCATCCAGCCAAGTCGTGTTGGACGGAATATTTTTCTGGCCTCCGAAGCCCAAAATACTCTTCTGGGTGGAATGATTCTTAAGAAAGAGACCAGGGTAGACGGAAACCCGCCGGTTTAGCTACATGGAACGTCGTCAACCTGTGAACTGTTTCAAGGCTGCCACCGTAAGCTCCAGCAGAATGAAACGTCTCGAGAAGTTGCACAGCCCAAGAAAAATCAGTCAAGTTAAGATTTCAGGCTCGAGGTATGGCTCGATACTGGCTCGAGGAAGTGTTTTCAGCAGTACGCCTTGAGCAATTACATGTCACTAACCTAGACTGGACTTAATTCACTGTATTTATTCTGCTTGCAGTCTGGTGTAAGTACAGGCGAGGATTCAGAGACGTCAGAAGAGAGAAAACATGAAGACGAAGGGTTACATATGACTGAGCTAGGCGGTTACAACGACGAGCCTGGGGCGCTGACAGCAGATTATGTCTATCTTCATTAAGAATTAAAGTCCAAAGTTATTCATTGATCGTCTTAGTACTCACTTTCTTAACCTAGATACCATCCCAACTTTCCGGCAACTCGACGAGCTGCTCATTCCGCTATGAGCAGTCTTGCATTAAAGAACCTCGATATGGCGTATTGGGTAACACTATTTGTTTGATTCTCTGCCTGAATTTGGGCCTTCTTGGAAGAATTGTCACGCAACGTGTCATGACTCCCCCACTTCACAGCCTCAGTTGAACTACCTGAAAGTGGTCATCTGGTGACCATGCCACCACTGGTTCCAGGTCGGGTGCGTTATGGCTTCAGCCTCCCATTTTTCGTGACTGACAATCAAATCTCAAACTTGACCTGGTAAATGCAGAGGTCTGAGAGTTTGCTGGAGCTGAAACAAGATGGGAGAGCTATCGGCCAATCTCTATCGCCTCGCGCTTGGGTTGTTTGATGGCGAGCACATTCTACCAATTTCTCGTATATCAATCATAAGATTTTTTCCCGAATCGCATGCTCCTCTATGGTCTTTACCCAGGCGAGACTGTTATCTTCCGACTCAGCCTCACCAGCTCATCGACCCATTACTTGCCTGAGCCACCGTAGTTACCAACCATTAATTCAATCATTAATTCAGCATGTGAACAATATTGAATTTTTGAGAACGAAAAAGATGTCGGTTTACGGGCGGAAAATCAGTGTGATCGTCCCTTTCTTGGCGGTGGCCCGATCTGAAGCCACGGGCATAAACATGTGGTTGTTGTTTCAGGCTTGTCTCCTCTCCCCTCATCGCTGCTGTCGATGGAGCCAATGCTTACTCAAGAGGGTTATCTCAGCAAGACTGGCCTTCTTGGTATACGAAGTCATGTTGTTTGGTTAGTATGTAAAGGGATCATTGTCCCGTTGCAAGCTTTTGGTAGCAATCATTCATTCCCTTCCTTTTCAGTATCATCATTCGTTACTGCGTTCGTCGCTCCTTTCTTTTTTATCATGGTTTCTTTCTTTTCTCTCTTCACAGGGTTGAGCCTTGTGGCCGGAGTTCTATCAGCTCCGGTCGGAGTGCTGAAATCCCCGAGATCTGCAACTCCAAGCAGCACCGCCACTCAAGAGAAGTAAGCCACTCCGGTGAAGCCATAATGTTGAAAGTGTGCTAATGAGTCTATAGATCTTACCACTATTGGTGGACTGATAGCGGACGGGATGTCAACTTTACTAGCTTTGATGGAGGCTCATACTCGATTGAGTGGTCAAAGGGCGCCAATTTTATTGGTGGCAAGGGATGGAACCCTGGCGGTCGCAAGTAAGTTATGACTCTCTCCACTTTCTTTGTTCAACTGTAACTAAGAGGAGTAGAAATGTGAAATACTCGGGCACTTACAGCCCCAATGGCAATAGTTATCTTGCCTTATATGGATGGACTACCTCTCCCCTCGTTGAGTACTACGTGGTGGAATCTTTTGGCAACAATGATCCTTCTACCGACAAAGAAAAGAAGGGCGAGGTTACCAGCGATAACGGCATATACGACATCTATGTTAGTAGCCGGAAGAATGTGTCGTCTTCGGAGCAGACCGTCAAGCAGTACTGGTCCATCCGACGTGAAAAGCACATCAATGGAACAATCACCACGGGAAACCATTTCGATGCTTGGGCTCGTGTCGGCCTGGAGCTTGGCTCGTTTGAGTATATGATCATGGCCACGGAGGGACATCTCAGTAGCGGCTTTGCGTCGATTACTGTCGGAGTTCATGAATCTTCGTCTTCTGATAGTGACGAGCACGTCAGCAAGAGAGATGAACTATACCCCCGATGCGGCTCTGGGTTTTGGCCTGATTGTGGCTCAGGTTCAGACGCTGAGTGCGGTGCAGGCTCCGATTGTGGTTCCGGCTCTGGTGATGGTTCAGGTTCTGGAGTAGGATCTGGCTCAGGATCTGGTGAAGGCTCGGGCTCTGGTCAAGGATCAGGATCGGGGTCTGGGTCTGGGTCTGGGTATGGTGAGGGCTCAGGATCTGGTTCTGGTCAGGGTTCGGGCTCAGGTTCAGGCTCAGGTTCCGGCTCCGGTCAAGGTTCGGGTTCGGGTTCAGGATCTGGCTCTGGCTCTGGTCAGGGCTCCGGTTCGGGCTCCGGTTCTGGTCAGGGTTCTGGCTCCGGCCAGGGGTCGGGTGAAGGATCTGGTGAAGGCTCCGGCGAAGGCTCCGGTTCAGGTGAAGGATCTGGTGAGGGGTCAGGCACTGAGTGTGGCTCAGGCTCTGACTGTGAGTCGGAATCCGGCCCAGTCCCAGTCCCAGACTCTGGCGAAGGCTCCGGCGAAGGCTCCGGCGACGGTTCCGGTGAAGGTTCTGGCGAAGGTTCTGGTGAAGGTTCTGGCTCAAGCCCTACCCCAGGGCCAGGATCAGGTACAGAATGCGGCTCAGGCTCAGACTGTGGCTCAGACTCCTCTCCGGTCCCAGTCCCAGACACGGGCTCTGGTGAGGGATCTGATTCCGGCGCAGGCTCTGGCGAAGGCTCGGGCTCTGGTGAAGGATCTAGCCCAGGTCCTACCCCCGGCTCGGGATCAGATACTGAATGCGGGTCGGGCTCAGATTGTGATTCAGGATCTGTCCCAGTTCCAGTTCCAGACACAGGCTCTGGCTCTGGTGAGGGCTCTGGTGAGGGGTCAGGATCTGGCGAGGGCTCAGTACCTGATTCTGGCTCGAGCCCTACTCCAGGTTCGGGATCAGACACTGAGTGCGGTTCAGGATCTGATTGTAACTCAGGCTCAGGTGAAGCACCTAGTTCTGGTTCAGGTTCCGGGGAGGGTTCTGGAGAAGGTTCTGGCGAAGGGTCTGGAGCAGGCTCTGGTGGAGGGTCGGGCTCAGTCCCAGTCCCAGACACAGGATCAGGTACCGAATGCGGTTCAGGGTCGGACTGCAACTCAGGCTCTGGGGGAGGATCCGGAACAGGATCCGGTGAAGGTTCTGGGGCAGGGTCTGGTGGAGGGTCTGGCTCAGTCCCAGTTCCAGTCCCAGACACAGGATCAGGATCAGACACTGAATGCGGCTCGGGCTCTGATTGTAACTCGGGCTCCGGGGAAGGTTCCGGAGGAGGTTCTGGAGAAGGCGCCGGTGGAGGCTCAGGCTCAGGCTCAGGCACCATCCCCATCCCAGACTTTGGAGTAGGCGCTGGGTGTCCCTCTGGCTGCGAATGCGGTTTTGACTTTGACTTTGGTTTTGGATCAGGTGCAATCGTAGTACCTGGGGCCGAGTCGGGGTCGGGAGGATGTGAGTCTGGCTCGGACTGTGGCTCAGGGTCAGGGAGTATCCCAGTCACAACCCCTGATTTTGGTTCAGGTGCCGGATGTGGCTCTGGCTCTGACTGTGGCTTCAATTTCGACTTTGGATCAGTCCCAGTCGTAGCGCCAGGGGCAGGAACAGGCACAGGATCGGGATCGGGATCGGGATCGGGATGTGGCTCTGGTTCTGACTGCGGCTCAGTGGGCTCTGTTTCGGGTGGTTGTGAATCGGGGTCTGGCTGCGGATCACCAGTAAGTTCTTCACGTGTCAAGGAAGATTCTAAACAATGAGCTGACACAGTTGCCAGTGCGAGGGTGGATGCGGAAGCTAGGTGGACTCATGGTGCTGCCGGTCGAGTGCAGCGGTTTTCAGATCATGCGTGAAACGGCATACTAGGAAGAAGGTGAGGTAGAGATCGACAACGGATGGCTCATGGTAGACCCATGCTGGCAATGTCAATGTGTAAATATAGAGTATAGGGGATCACTCTGTGAGTGAACTTGATCTTGTTACTGCGGTCTTAGAAACTCGCTGCAAAGTTCCTTTACCAATATTTCCATCTAATTGCTAGGGGACTGTTGATCTGATGGGGTTCACCGTCCAAGGCACCACTGATCGAGGCTTCGGCAGTATTTGGAATTGTCGGGAGTGGCTTAGTTATGGCAACCGGGCCGACTCTATCAGCTCTCTTAGTGCTGCTGTTAGCCTACACCGACGATGTTACATATACACATTTATCAGCAAACATGTGGACCAGATGGCAACTTTGTATGTTGGCAACTACGTCTCAACCGATTAAGACAGGATGTTGGCCTTGGACATACCATCCTCGTCACGGGTCCCTCATCCCAGCACCGTATCCACTCCGTTCATCACCATCACCATTCCTGACTAGGCATTTTATTGAGAGCGAGGCAATAAGCTTGAGGGCTTAGTCATTGCCTTAACTCCAGATAGCCCTGACGCACGGGTTGCCTTGTTGGTAGCACTATAGTCGTTACGGCCCATTGACACGAGCCAACAGGGAAGAGATCCAGGGTTCAAATGTCTCCTTGACCCAAACTGCGAGTGCTGACATGGCGGCCTGCAGCTGGTAGATGCCAACAATCGTGCTAGTATCGCCAATTCGAAAGTCGCCGTCCAGGAGGTGCTATTGCTAATTAGAGATTGACGTCAACAAGAGCACAAGGCATCACTTACAATCTCTGAGCCGGCATCTGTCACAAACAGGAGAGTCCAGACACTACCTACCACCTGAATCACAGGCACAGTAACGATCCTCTCTGTTCCGCCTCCGAGGTCAATGATGCTCCGTAGTCGCTGGTGCCATGCAGCCACCCAGATGCCCAACTGGGCGTTGGCTGTGTCCATATTTCCGGATGCGGTTTTCGTCTCGATGAAGATGGGAGCTGGGCGTGTGCGGAGAGGCTCGTATGAGGTTTGGTTGATGGTTGACGTTTTGCTTGGCTGCTTCGATAAGAAGGTCTGAATCAGGTTTTGGAGCTCATTCTCCGGACGAAGGACCAGTGCAAAATCAACCATCTTATGAACTGACGATGGACTTGTCCGTGTTGTGCCCATACTGTGCTCAGAGACACTACTCATGTCGGATATGCTGGCGTTGGAGCGCTGTGGCGGAATCTCGTCGCCGGTAGCTGGCAAGGGACGAAAGGCGGGCTTGATATGGGCTGAAGTGATCGGCTCAACCTCGAGGAAGGGAAATGTGCCAGTTGCTTGACGAAGAAGAGGGGTATGAACCAGACAGTTCCAGGCAGCTTCAGATCTATGGAGATTCGAACAAGAGATCGAATCATCAACGATGGCTCGAAGGCGATCATGAGTCTCGTGCGCTGCCCTGTCGTCCACGCTCGGGTTCGCATTAGAGTTCCACATAAACGACCGAATTCGCGTATCCTGGAAATCCAAATGTCCTCTAAGAGCAGCTGGCAGGATCTCTTCTTTCGCCTCGACCGCGGAAAGGGCCTCAAGCAGTGCTCGAGCGTCATCCGGAAGAGCGCTTCCGAAGTTTGCCTCTTTCACGAAACGGACCGGACGAACCAAGTCGAGCAGACTGGCCATCTTCCGGAATCGTTTCGAGGGAGATGAGCCGCGAGATTGGGTCGTCGAGTGTGACGTTTCCGTTTGGGCGAGGGGAGGTATGGCTAGAGAAGAAAATGCAGCTCTTGTTGCGAGGATGACAGTAAAAGAGGAGGATGACCCTGGCGAGACGATAGCCTCGGGGGCTAGGACGTGAAACACGTCTCCGTCATTATCATGTCGCGATATCAGTTGGCGAGGTCTTCGAGGTGTTCGATCGGGATCGGGGTATAAATCGGACGGGTCGTCGCCGGTTCGCTGACGTTTAGATGGGCTTGACATGTCGCAAGACGATCGACGGCGACGAGTGGTAGGTGTTGGTGGTGTCACAAGGGAATGTTTCACATCGTCAACCCACGCCTGGATGATAATAGAGTCCATATCCAAAGGTTGAATTTCCCATTGATGGCATTTCTTTCGTCGGATAGAGGTCGCTTGCTCAACAGGACGGGTTGAACACGGTTGTCGCGATGACGTTGTTCAGATTAGGCGATGGTGATTCTAAGCCGTTGCCACAGCACCCAGCCGGAAATTTGAAGGACCGACTAGCGCGATCAGCCACTCCTGCCTCATTCCCTAGGTACCTACCCTGTAGTACAACATTTTCTAGAGGCTCTTTTGCCAACATCAAGTGCACACCAACTCGAAATGTGGCAAAAAAGATAGACGATGCTAATCATGAAGTGTTTTTAGACAACTGGTTTTATTCGGTCTTTCTCGGCATTAATTGAGGCAGGGGTGACTGCGGATTTCCACTTGGTGATCAAACAATTGGGATAGGGCGGCAAACAACGCCAGCAACCCCTGCTATTGACATCATTGCAGCCAGAATTCATTAGACTTTAACATTTCCAACATTGGTATCAGCAGTGGACATATAGAACGCGTCTACGATGACTAGGCCTAGGTGATAGGCAAGGGATATCGTTATTATAATGGTGGAATACATGCCCCATTAGCGCCGGACGTAGGACGCGAGGACGGGGCAGACTCGGGATCGGGGTGGGGCCGATTGAGCAATGTGGGACCGAAACAAAACGGCCGGGCCCAGCATTTACGGCCCTACTGTACACTCATAAGCTCTGGTTCTATACACTAGGGTTGCTACCGGTGCCAAATTAAAGTGATTGACACCAAAGACCATTTGGGACCCTGGTAGTCATCGCTGCTTGCAAAGCTCAGTCCTACTTACTAAGATATCATTACTATCTTCTGGGTCTAGGGAATTATGTCGCAGACGAGGACGAATAGAGGTCCAAGATTCGCAATAGTCCCAGTACCAGGTTGAAAAGAAAACAAAAAGTTAGTGGTTACATGAGAACCAAGACTAAAGAATTGAGTGTAGGGCCACTTGCTCCAATTGATGGTAGGCCCTGTGAATGTGAGGTTATTCGCAATTCGTGCACAACCTATTGAATATGGGTTGTATTGTAAAGACAAACACATACAGTAAAATACTCCCAAAACTGCCGACATATCTATCAAAAAACGTCGGACGAGTCCTGGCTGTCTGCAATAACTGAGTAGCCAAGCCTGGTCTTGAAATCAGATACACTTTTCTCCGTCGGATTTCGCTGGGTGCTGGAAGATCCTGGAGACTCTGCTTGGCCGAACTGTATTCCAGGTGGCCATGTACGCTGCTCCGGTACCGGCTTACCGGAAAACACAGGTGACCCAGAAGGTGCCTCGTCGACTTGTGACAGCCGTGGCGAACTTGACCTATGGCATGGCGAGCTGGAGCTGATTCGGCCCCTGGATATGTTTGGCGTCGGTGTGGTCTCAGCTGACCCAGTGACTGTGCTCCCTGAGAGCGGCGCCGAGTCACGACTGTGGAAGCTAGGACGGCCTTCCCTCGAAGATCTTGACTGTGGCGTTGCCATGAAAGTCTCAGCATGCCACAAGAGTGTCGGGTCAGAGTACTCATGGTCCGAAGACTGAGCAACCGAAGCCTCAGTGTCAGAAGCCTCAGCAGCAGTAGGTGCTTTGTCAGGGTTGCCATGGGCCGAGGTAGTCCATGGCGGCCTGTAGTCAGAATCATTCGGGTCATCGTTGTCGTTCAGCGGCTCCTGAGTTATGGGGCTTGTCTGTTCAAGGTCGGCCTCGACGGATACCTGGGTTGCATTGTCTTGCGCGTGACTGGTGGTAGGCATCTCCTGTGTCAGATTGAGAGCCGCCAACTTCTCCTTGACAACTCGATCGACTTCGTTGGACAGAAATTCTCTCTCCGACGAGCAGATATGGTGCATAAGCAAGCCTAAGAGCAACGGTGTCACTTTCTGATGGGCCGTGTCGTCAAGCTCCATAGTGGCGTGATCCTTCAGTAAGGCCTGGACAATAGGGAGAACTGTTTGGCGTCGTTCGATGTTCTTCTGACGACGAAGCTTTACCTGGCTCCATGGACTTGAAGAAACTTCATCTGACCTGCAGTGTACATAACCCCATTGTTCAATGTATGAGGATATCAAAGGTTTGAAGGCTCGCACAGCCCAGGTGTGCGTGTTCTCCAGGATGATTTGAAACCGTACAACGTCGGCACCTTTCGTCATGTCGCCGTTCCAAATGGCTCGCATGATCTAAACACCACGTTAGCACGAGTGGCGAGACAGATTGTTAGACTTACGTAGCCCTTGTTACGGAGTCTGCTCGTCACCTCTTGCTTGTCCCTACCACTGCAAGGGGCATCAAACTTCTCAGCAAAATACATGAGCCAGACCGTAACGCGGGGCCCAATGGTCGTCACTGCTGGGATTGGGGGGATATGCCCGTAATCCGGAAGCTCAACGGCGTACTGTGCTGAATCCTGGACCAGTCTGACGGCGCACGCCGCGGCATTGGCGGCCTGGCAACACACAACCCTCCCTGATGGTCCTTCTGGCTCTTCCTCCTTTTTGTGTTCGACAATGAGCCAAGGGTAGCATTTGAGATTGGCCTCCATAGGTGGTTTGTGAAAAATGCGAAAGGGGGTTGGTTGCAGGCCAAACTCATGCAACTTCTCCAAAGTTGACCATGAAAAGGGCTCCATGATGGATGCTTCTTGATGGCGGTTCCATTGGCGAGCCTCGGGATCTACTACCGTCGGAATTCCGGCCTTGAAATGAGGGCGGTACATGGGCAGATAGAATGCCTGGTCTGGCTTTGGGCATTTGAGGCTCTCAAAAGCCCCAAGCCCAGGGGTGCTGTTCCCCTTGAACAGGTCCCATAACTCGTTGGTTTCTCTTGCAATCAAATCAGTTAAAATTCAGGGTGGAAATGGTTATCATACGCACCTCTTCACGTCGTCGTAGTAGTATTTATAGCGAGAGACACTTGAGATTGCGGTCAGCTCCAGGTGTTTAGCTGTAGAGGGATGGTACGTGTTCTCACCGTCGAGGGTCTTCTTTGGATACCGAAAGACTCTCGCTGAGAGGCTCAAAGAAATGTGTCTCGAAAAAGCTCTCCCATTTCTTTTCCAGATACCCGCCATTGACTATGCTTCTAGCTTTACTCATAGCATTGTTGGCGGCTTTCAAAGCAGGATCTATGTCTGACCCGTCAAGTGGGCGCTTGAATTGTCCATCACTGGAAATAGGGTCGAATAAGTCTTTGTGGCCACGGATTGGACATGAAAAGTCGAGCATGGACCTTCGCACGCGGCCTACGTGAGGAGGCACGACTATGCTGAATGGGTGGGTGTCTTCATCGTAGAAGATGTTCTTCTGGCCGAGTTCATACCGGTCCCAAGACATGTTTGAGAGGTGATGGAAAGGAAGAGAAGAGAAAATTGGGGAGAAACGAAAAGGAGGTAGCCCAGTCCTTGCCCCCTCTTTTGGCCTCGACTGCCCAGGTTGATGTATGTTGGTTGATCGATGCATCTTACAACCAACTGCATAACATCACGTCTCAGCTGGCGGCTAGCAAGGTTGTCGCTGTGTGGGATGTGGAGAAGGGTACGGTGACATAGCCAGATGTGGTATGATCTCCGCACCCGCATCAGTGTCAGTGCATAGGAGATGCAGGTGAATGGGTTGCATCCCTTGCTTCTTCAACCCCTTCGACAGGGCATCTGAATGGGGGTATTTCATTTATTGCTTCCTTCGGGCTGAAACCATTACCGACCCCACCAGAGTGACCAGAGGCAATTTACTTGTTCACAGATAGGAACTACACTCAAGAAATGTCCGCTAGGTAGATATCAATGCTGCAGATATGCAATGCAAGTTGACGGGTTTAGAAAACAAAGAAACCGTTAAGTATTGGCAGGTTATAACATAAAGGTCTTGAATAATTTCGATGCATATAATTAATTAAACCGCTTCCTAATGGAAATCAAACAATCACCCAAGGGGAATAAGGGTGTTTGCAAGGCTGAAAGCTACGCCTATGTCCGCCTCCACGAGCTATAGTATTGATCCATGAACTTTCACGGAACTTGTTTCCATTGAAGAGCATAATGGATGTATTTGACGGAAACAGTGAGTCCTTTGTTAAGGGCAAGCCAGAACTCCGGAGACATTACGGTGACCAAAAATTCTGCTCAAACTGGTGAAACATCAACGTTAAGAAGGCGCCATCCTTTGCACAATATTTCAAACCAAGAGACACTCAGAGAGGGCTGGGATACACGATCCTCGCTATTGACCTTGGCTATTGAGGCTTCTGGTCATGATAAAGACCTGCACCATCCACAGGTTTGGGGTGAGGATGATGCAACAGACCCGTCATTGTCAACGGCGCCGGCTTCGTGGCGGAATTTACGTCGAAACCGATGACTTGTAGGTTTTGTTCAAGACCCCGAGTTCCTGGAGTGCCGGGGTCGGTCATGTGCGTGGCTCCGGAATACGTGACGCAGTCCGGACACCGACCCTACTCGTATTAGCAACAGATCTACAGACCTAAGTTCACCTTGATGCAACACGCGACCCGCGGACTCCACGGATCTCGGCCTCCCTACCAACCCCTCGCTCGTTTAGAGCGGATTCATATAACCCATTGCCGCGCGTATAATTCTATCTTAGCAAATCCTAGATGGCATAGACAGTTGTAGAAGCTCTTTTCAGGGAACTCTCAATTACCATGTCCGGTCAATTCAACGTTGCCATCGTGGGTGCCACTGGCAGAATCGGCTCGAGTATTGTGTCCGCCCTGCTCAATTCAAAGGACCATCACTTTGTGAGTACACATAATGATGCATTTACTATATCTCATGAAGGTCTTATCTCGGTCTAGAAAGTCACTGCTCTTGTTCAACCCGCCTCAGCCGACAAGCCCACCACCAATTACCTCGCCCAACAGAACGTCAAGATTGTGTCGGCAGACTTACAGGGTGAACTGAGCGAACTAGTAAAGACATTAACTGGAATCGACATCGTAATCTGTGCTCTGCCGCCCAACTACACGTTGGACCAGATACCTTTGGCGGATGCTGCATTGCAGGCTGGAGTGAAGCGATTCGTGCCCAACATGTGGTCTACGGTAGCACCGCCAAAAAATGTCATGAAGATTCGAGACACGGTGAGCGGCGACTTTGCTCGCATAGGCGACCCCCCAGGAATGCTCCTCGCTGATAATGCAAGCAGAAGGAGGATGTCCTCAACCACCTGAAGAAGATCGGCTTGCCGTACACCGTCATTGACATTAGCTTTTAGCATGAAATTATGATCCCAAGAGTCGATTCTGGACGATTGGATCATGTGGCCTTGTATTCCAAATACTTCTTCGTCGACAAAGGCCTTGTTCCCTGCGCCACCATCCATATCGACGACGTGGGACGCTATGTGACTCGCATCATCTCGGATCCGCGAACTCTCAATCGGATGGTCTTTGCCTACAGAGAGGTCACCTCGCAGAGTGAGGTTATTCAGCTCATCCAGCGGGTCATAGACGAGGACATTCCACTGGTCAGGATAAGCCATTAGCAAGTATCAAAGGCAGCCCAGAGCGGCAAGCTGGACTTGTGGCCCCAGGTGATCCTTGAGTATGTGTTCAGCGCTTGGGCGAGGGGGGACAATCAACCTGCTCAGGCGAATTTGCTTGGCTATCTGAATGCCAAAGACTTGTATCCGGACTTTCAGGCCGTCTCGTTAGAGGAGACAGTGGCCGAAGCATTGAAAAATGGAGGTGTCAATCCTGGGTTTGGTAGCAGCGAATTTTGTGAGAGCGTCGAGGCTGAATTGTTGAGCTGGGCTTAAATTCAGCTGCCAATTATCCACTTTTCTAGGCCTAAATGACTGTCACTCTCAATTTCACGCTTCATATTGGTTTGGGGCAAGGGTGACTCCGAGCTCACAGTCCCTGAAGTCGACGTCGAAATGGTTTATGGCCATCTTAGCAACACTCACTACAAGTGAAAACTGAACCACCACAAATCGAGATACCTTGGCTGGGGCGAGCCCTGTATTGAAAGAGAGCAAGTCATGACATCCCCCATGACCTCAGAGGCCCAGTCAGTGCTTGGCGTCACGGTTGGCCTGATGGTATTAAGGACGCACTCCACATCATGGATAAAAGATAAAATGTAGTGAATTGGGTTAATTAATGCATTAAATATTTCTCTAAGCTCATGTTCTTAAGACAATATTAGGGTTATGGTAGTCATCTTAAGACGTGTTATGCTGGAGTCACAGTTTACTCAATGGCATTAAGGGCGCACTCTCTATTATAGATAAGAAGTAAAATAGAGTAAAAATGCTCAATATATCTATTAAATACCCCTCTAAGCTCATGTTCTTAAGATACTATTAACGTTATAATAGCTATCTTAAGACGTGTTGTGCTGGCCTTTGGATGGCCTGGGACTGAGATGACGCGTTGTTAAGAAAAGCACAATTAGCGAACGCTAGCTTTTCACTGAAACTGTAACAGGAATATGTGCATCTAAAAAGGCATTTGAACGCTCCCTCATAAGTAGATTTGCTTGCATCATCGCTATCTTAACCCCTTCCTCTGTCTCTTCATCTGATGCCAAAGATTTCAGCGACGGCGCCTCAACCGATGACGTAGCCAGGTCTAATGTTCAGCCACTTGTCAACTAAGCCACACTCAGCCATCAAAGTGAAGCATCTTGACCAACACAAAATCAATATCGCTGGCTGTCCTGCTACATTCTGCTACATACAAGATGATTACGAGAAACAATTCGTTTAATAATCGAGGGTCCTCGGAGAGTACCTCAATTCTGTTTAACACTTGGACCCTGGCTGCGTCAAAGGTCATATCGTGTCGGCCCCACAATTGTCCGCCGCCGTTTCCCTGGTGACGCAACCCAAACTCAACCAAGTCATTATCGCGACTGGCAATTGATGATAGCTTCAACGCCATCTACCAGCATTCAGATCAACATGTACCCACTGTCTTGAGACCCTGCGTACCATGGGAAACTCCCGCATACTAGCTTGGCTCGATTCCATCGCCACGCTTCCTCCTCAACAACAAGACCCATCTAGCTCCGATCGACCGCGCAAGCGCCCAAGACTCAATCACGACCATCTCTCCCTCTCCAAGTCCAAACCCTGGCCGAGCCCGTCATATACCAAGAAGAGTGAATCTAGGTCACGTCTTCCGACCCCGTCAACCTCCGGGTCCCCTCCCTCCAGGCCCTCGACATCGTCGAATCGCGACCACAGCTCCATGGCTTCAAAGCGCCCGAGGAGCCCGGACAACGACCACAGCGAGGAAGCAAGAGACCCCGACCAGTTCCATAATGATTTAACTCCCCGACCTCCTCGTTCATTTATCATCCCAAACGCCCTCGACCCTGATAATCCTCCCCAAGCACCTTCAGTCGCATCCTCTTCACGACTCTCATCCAGGGCATCATCAAAGGCCTCCAAGATCTCGCGCAACTCCTCCCCTACAAAGCAGCTGCGTAATGCAGAGCTGCAGCATACAGGATTTGTCAGGGCATCATTCGAAGACGGCGAGCAGCCGTTGTCGTTGGAGCTGTTGACTCAACGACTGAGGGACATTGAAGAAGGCTACGCCATCTTGCCAAGAGACCTTCAAAGTGATGTATGTATGAGGAAGCTAGTCAGATTACTTATACTAATCATTGCGCAGCTCGCCAGCGAACGTGTACGACCGTGGATGTTTGGGGACAAACCCCAGTTTGGAGCCTCAGACCTACCCGATGTGCGAACTGTCCGCAAGATACACCGTCTAGCCCGGAGATGCTTCAAGGAGAACCTCGCCGAGTCATCCTGGAACAATGACGTGCACTCGCAAATACTGGAGTGGGTGATGCGGGATAGTCCCAGCAGCGAGGATGAGTTGTTGGACTACAGATGCTGGTGCGTACTGATCCCTCTCCAAGTCTCAAACCATACTAACACAGACACAGCCTGACAGCTGGTATCGTCAAGGCCTATCGGCCGGAACACGCACCGAGCAAGATGGTCGACTTCTGCATCTGCGTCCAACCAGACACAAACTCGTCGCACCACGAAGCCATCCAATCCCGATGCCTCAAACGACCAGGCATGTCAATCAACCACACTGACTGGGGCGACTTGACCAAGAACCCCATTGCCATTTCCATCGAGACCAAGGGACCCGAACAGTCTTATGATACCGCTCTGTTGCAAGTTGCAACATGGCATTCTTCACAATGGCGTAGTCTATGTTGGGGCCGGCGTGACCCTATCGACGCCATCGAGTTTCTGCCCGGCATCATTGTTACTAAACATGACTGGTACTTTGTGGCAACCGATCTTGACAGATTTGGCAAGGCTCGCACGTTTGAGCGAATACCGCTGGGAAGCACAGAGTCGATACTGGGCATCTACAAGCTGTCCATGGCGCTGTTGACATTGTGTCAGTGGGTGCGGGATCAGTACTGGCCGGCTTTCCAGGCGGATATCTTGGATTTGGAAGCCCAGGTTGCTGGTGGTGAGACGGACGCAGCATGACTCAATCAGCGACGAGTGATGATGGCCTTCAGAGATGATTTGCTTATTTTGTTTTAAAGTAGCGCTACATGATACCCCTTCTGTTCTTTGGCACCTTGGCATCTTATTGTCACATCTTATGTACAGTCTCCTTATTGGCGTTCTGGTGATAGATCGTCAGATGACGTCAAAGCGTACTCTAACCGTAGATCACATATTTGAGTATATCTAACGAACCGTGCAACAGATTCAAACTGGGTGTTTTGTTAGGCTGTCGTTCTTCTCGTTGACACTACCAGTTATTTAAAGTCCCTCGCCATGGCATCAATAGCCTCCATCGACGTAGACGCCAAAGTTCAGAGAGCCCTCGTAGGCACCAAATTCGAACCCTCATCCTTGACAAAGCTCTCAGGAGGCTCCGTCAACTGGATCTATCTCGCAAAGTTGTCGACACCCCTCGATGATGGGACAACAGAAGTTCTGGTCAAACATGGAGAGCCCTGGATGGCCTCCAAGCCCGAGTTTCCACTGGCCATGCTTCGCTGCGTACTGTCTCCTCGAGTCTATCCAATTGTTCCATGCCACTAACCCGCCATAGAGCATTGAAGTGGAAAGTCTGAGGATCTTGTCTGGCCGTTCCTCCTTTGGACCATCTGATTCTATGGATACCTCCAATTTTGTCGCTCAAACACCAAACTTCTTCCACTTTGATCACAATGCTACCAACCAGATCCAAGAATTCCTACCCGATGGTATCAATTTGAAAGACTACGTCCTACAGCATTACACCGCTCCAACTCCCAAGTCATTTAAACCGCAATGCCGCCATCTCGGCGAGGCATTGGGTAAATGGCTTAGAGGCTTTATAGAATGGACTGCACAACAGCACAAACATCGACACGTCGTGGCTCAGAACAACTTCGCCCAAGCCATTAAGCACATGGTCAATTTTTCATGGCTTCACGAACGCATCAAAGACTTTCCGGATATTCTCGACCCTGTAAAGGATATCCTTGGACAGGTTGAGCAAATGGCCGCTGCTGAGAGAAAGGAGGTGAGCAAGCACCAGATCATCCATGGTGACTTTTGGACGGGAAAGTAAGCTCACTAGCCATTGAATGAAACTTCAAAGGTTGACATTTACTTCTCAGCATTATTTTACCCAATGCCCCAATCCAGCAAGGCACCGAGGTGCCCATGTTGGCCATCGACTGGGAATGTACTCAACTCGGCTTGCCCAGCGTCGACTTTGGACAAATGATTGCCGAGATGTACGCTCTGTGGGTGTACAAGTCCATCACGGCGGGACTATGGATGATGGAGGGCTTCATCGAAGCGTATGGAAATATCAGCCAAAACTTTGCCTTCCGTACTGCCATACAGACGGGTGCGCATCTACTGTGCACTACCACGACGTTTCCAGGATGGGGGACGCCTCAAAAAGTCCAAGAGGTTGCTCGTTTGGGGAGGGATATCATTGTACATGCTTGGAAGAAGGATGTTGCTTGGTTCGAGAAGGGTGACCTGGCATGCTTGTTCCGCACAGGTTCGGGTTGATGTTTGAGCTCTAACTAAAGACACGTACATGACTAGGGCATCACCGAAGTGAATCGACCGAGCAGTTGATTCAATCGTTACCGGTGGATTGATACAAGTCAATCGCAGGCTGCGCGTGGAATGGAAGTACACAAGCAAACGGAAAACGCGAGAGGAGCATGTCCTCATGTGATTAAGGGGCAGATCTTATCTGTAAAAACCTTATCTTATCGTATAATCTTATCGCTCAACTGTGGTAGGTGTAGGGTGGTCGCCCGAGCTGTACTCAATATCGATTGGCAGCATCATCACTCGGGGAGAACAGGGCTTTTTTCTGCTATATTTAACGAGAAAATACTCTGTTAATCAAAAAACATATCGGTTTTGTGACTTCAAGTGACGCAAAATCCATTGCGGTTGAGCCAAGACAAACGTGGCTACATCCACTTTCCAATGATAATGCTGAACTTTTAGAGCTGCCTGAAGAATTCCAGATTTCATTGCAAATTTCACCCTAGGCTTAGAGAAGAACATTTGTCAACCATCATGTATTATTCCACTACCTCGGTGCCTGTTAACATGTCTCTTCTACTTTTACCTTTGTGATGTATTGGGGCTCATTGTTAGAGAAAGGCGCACGTGACAGGGTGTGCTCATCCTGGACCTAAGGCAAATTGGAGCCCAATAGCTAGGTTTCTTATATCCCATATGCCCATGATATCAGATTCTTAAGGGATGGATATTCTAGAAGCGAAACAAGCCTGCCATGGTCACTGCAATGCCCATAAGGCGATACTAGGAGCGTTAGCGAGAGGAAGTTACTATCCACCTGTTAATAATCTCCCGCGAGGAATTGATGTTGCTGTCGTCGGACAGTTATCAGTTCAATACATGCAGGTGATAATACTCCATGGTCGCAATCACCAAGAAAACCCAACGTTCCGGAGCAAGATTAACAGGAGCGAGTTGGCCCCGATCTGCTCCAAGTAGGGAAGGATAAAACTTGGAGTGATAACCTCTTGTCTTGCCAGCTATGTGGAAGAATGAAACTTCGACTGTAAACACGCTAATCTTGGGCTAAACAAGAGCAAACTCTACATCTTCATCCTTAATCTCATCGATCCTCATTGCTACCCCGTCGTACATGATCCCACTCATATAGCATTCTCCTACCAGCGAATACCTACCACCAGTTTCCCTCCTTACCACGAACGGCACATCAGCCCCATACAAGATGACAACCAGGTCCCCTTTCTTGGCCCTCATGGGAACGTATCCTACCATTCCCATGTTGGTCCCCGCAAAGCGCCGCGATTGTGCCACTGTCAGTGACGCCTCGATGGCTCTCCTTGCCAGAGGATAATGCTTCCTAACGTACGACCTAGGGAGCTTCTCTGCCGCGAAACTTAGCCGAATACAGGCCGCGACCATGGGCTCAAACTCCTCGGTGGCTTCTTGGCCATGGTCAGTCCGGTTGCAGACCAGGGTTCGCAAAAAGGGCACCCAGTCAGAAGGAACTCCATCCTTTAGCACAAGCTTCCCGTCCACCAGTTGAGTTGCCACAATTGCATTAGCTCTGGGAACGGGGTAACGGCCCCCCTGAGATAGCCTTACCATGGCCTCCAGCCAGATGCGTGTGGCTTCTATGATCATGTTCTTGTTGACCCGCAGTTCATCGTACCATGTCATTGGCTTATTCGCATAGTCGCCCTTGCCATCCAAGTCGGATGGGTTCCTGATCATCTCCTCTCCAACTGTGTGGAGCGTATCGACTATCCTTCCCTTGACATGCAATACAGTATCATCGTTGGATGTCCGTGCCTGAATAGGCAAGTCTCCACTGGCACTAAAGCTCGCACGATTCTCGTACCTAGTGAGACTTTGATGAGGGTCAAGCCTGTTAAAGTCGGGAACCCAAGATGGTGACAAATTCTGGCTGCCGGCCTTGTCTGAGCTGCTGCCAAGAACTCGAAGGCTGCCATTATGAAAGATTTCCCAGAGAACGAACTTGCGGAATACGTCCCCTGGAGAGATTGAGTAGTCTGGCGTTAGGTACTCGCTGCTTATGTCCTGGCCTGTCACGCCAAGCATGCCAAAGACCTTGTCCCGAGGATTACTGCAAGCAAACTTGCGGCTATCCATGATCAAGTCAAGGAGCTTTGTGAACTCTTGGCGATGCATCCGAGATACAGACAAGAGCTTTGTGTACAGCCACTTATCAGGCAACATGATGCTGGTGTAACGATCCCTTCGTGCTGAACGCAGCAGGTGCACACTGGCCACAGCGTCAACGATCGAGGGATAGCCGGGGATCTTTGCGACTTCACCCTTGTAGAAGTTCATGGCGATCACGACTCTCTCAAGCATGGCCCAAGGGATGGACTCGTCGCCACAGAAAACTTGGGCACGTTTTGCTAGAATGGCTTCCTGGATGATCCAAGTGCGCTGGAACCATGGACGCCGGAGCAGGTTGATAATGGGATCCCAGTTGATCTTGTCATCTGTGAGAGGCTTCATTTTGGGCAGGTAGTCTAGTAGTTTTACTCCCACCGGGCCCAAAACAAGCAACCTGGAACAATACCGTCTGACGTGAATGGGCATGAACTCCCAGTCGAGCCGGCGAATCGATTCCATCGCCTCGTCGACAGAGGAATCTCCCTTGCCGAGGTAAATGAGTACTCGTCGGGCCTGGGAGTAGATGTCGCCCATAAGCCGGATCTGCTTGGCCTTTTCGTCGTTGTCGGCCTGGTTGATACAGACAGCGTCTACCCAGAGGAGTCGGTTGTGTCTTGGATCCCGCAAATCCGTCAAGGCATCATGGAGGCTCACAGTCACATCGATGGTGCGCCCAGAGCAGCTCAACTGACGGGTAATGGCTGGATCTCCCCAGGTGTACGACAAGGCTTCGTATTTGGTTCTCCAGGACAGCTCGGCGTTGACCAGGTGGCATTTTAGCTCGTCGCCTGGAGCTCCTGGCTCTAGGACAAGTAATCTTATCTCTTTGTCTCGAGTAATCGGCTGGTATAGAGTCTCAGTGGTTGCTTTTTCAGGCATGACTCGCTTTGGTGGTACGACGAGGAAGAGAGTCCAGGTAGCAATATTGTCAAAGAGACCATAATCTCTGAGTGGCTCATATGCGAACATAATGAGGAGTTGAGCAGTACCAGAGAGGAAAATGTAGACTAGGAATTTGTCGGTCAAGGTCATCTTCTTTGAGCGCGGAGCCTCATGCTGCCCTTGGTTGGTAGACTTGTATGCGTATGACTGGCGTGAAAGATGGTGTGGCCTTGGTAATATTCGTGGCGGGGCAAAACAGACGCTTCGGCTGATGAGCCGTGGGAGTTGTCGTCTGTAAGCGAACATTGTATTCTATCTCTGCTGTTGGAACTTGCAAGTGATGCGTTCCATAAAGCTCGAAGCAAAGGTACAGACAGTTGAAGCGACGACGGGCACAAGAGGGGACCCCAGGAGCCTTGAAATACCTACGAAGCCAGGCCGCTAGCTTTGAGGGCTTCGGGGTTCAGCTGACATCCTCCATGCAATGAATGACCCACTCACGCATGGCCAACTCATCGCAATCTGATACCCAGGGGGCTGACTAATGATAGGCCGCCCCTCTCTTCATCAGAGAGGGGGCATCATAACCTATAACTCGGTCACTGCTATAACCGCCTAAGCTAGCTTTAAAATAGAATAATAAATATAAATAAAATACTTAAAAGGTTAAATTAAATATAATAATAAACTTAAAGTATTAAATAGATATAATTTTAAAACTTTATTAAATAAGTATTTTTTATTAAATTATTTAAAATACTTTAAAATATTAAGGGTATATTTTTCTTAAGAAAAATAAAATAAAAAAATAAAATAAAATAAATTTAAAAAAATTCTTTAAAGGTATATTTAATTATATTATAATTATTTAATAATAATTTAACTTAGCTTTTTATATAATAATTAAAATAACTTATATTATAAAACTTTATATTATAAAAATAATATATTTTAATTATATTATAAATATTACGGCCTAATATATCCCCTATTATATATTATTTCTATTCCTTATATTTTCCCTTCCTAATATACTAACTATAAGAGACCTTACTTCTATAAGTATAAGGCCCTTACTTAGACCTTACTTCTATAAATATAAGGCCCTTACTTAGACCTTACTTCTATAAATGCGAGGCCCCTTATATATATATAATATTTATTATATCTTAGATAGATACTTAGCCTTTAAGCTATTAATAGACTTTAATTACTTTTAAGACTTTCTTAACCTATTACTAAGATATAATTACCCTATTATATAATAATACTAAGACTCTTTATTAATAATAAACCTAATATACCTAGTTTATTCCCTTAGAAAATACTAGATATTATATATTAATAGCTTCTTATTTAGTATATTTCCGCGTTATATTATATAATACCCCTATTATTAAATAATATATCTTCTAATAGATAGAATACCTTATTTATTAAATCTTCTGCTAAAGGATTATTACCTTATAATAAGATATTACTAAATATTACTAAACTTATAGCTAAAATCTAATAACTTAGAGGTATAATTAATTAACTCTAAGGTTAAATATAGAGCTAGCCTATAATATTTACCTAATAATATTATAATAAAGATCTAAGAGAAATTATTAGACTTATAATACTTAAAGCCACACATCTCTGAGTTTTGTTGGAGTTTTGATGGTTGTGGTGGTTTCTTCAGTGTTCATTATTTTGAGCTTCTTTAAGGTCTTTGTTGATCTAATGCCTGTCAAGTGGCGCGGGAACCGAGTTCTTCTATGGGTATCATCGGAAAATCTTGCATTGCTTGAAGGCAAGCAGGGGCTGGAAAATGAGACCTCAGCCGGGGGGAAGGCCAAAGCGCAGGGGCAATGATGGAGCTGTGTCAGTGTTGTCGAGTCTCAAGGTGGCTTTACATAGGGTTAAGTGCGCAGACTCGTAATCGAAGGCCAACGCAATGGATGTCTTGAGAATGAATCCATCTTATCGGGAAGAGGGGTGATTGCCGAAACAGATACTTACGCTACATCAAAATCAGCTAGTA